CCCCCCCCCGGGGTCTCCTACTGCTTGACGGAATCTAACGAGCTGATGCAGGAATCCGCCCTCTGGTTCGCGACCCCGACGCCAAAAACACCGAGTCACTAACCCGCAGTCACTTAATCACTGTTTCCGAATCGGGTCTCTTAACATGCGTCGGTGGCAAATGGACTACATACCGCGAGATGGCCGAAGACGCCGTCGACACTGCTATCAAGGAATTCAAGCTGAAACCACAAGCACTTCAATCGCGTCCTAACATCACTGGCACAAGCACAACTGCTGCTGAGCAAACATCACTAAATGGCTCCTGCCAGACACAGCAACTACGCCTTGTTGGAGCTCATGGATATTCTCCGAAACTCCGTGACGAGCTTGTGCAGCGCTTCGAGCTCGCAGACGATATCGCTGATCACCTTGCACACAACTACGGCGACCGCGCCTGGGAAGTTGCTACGCTCTCATCCCCGTCATCGAAATCCGAACAGCGCATTGCGGGCGCTGCGTTCCCCTTTGTGGACGGCGAGGTGCGCTACGCAATCCGAAATGAGTACGCAATGACCGCAGCGGACATCGTCGGCCGACGTATGCGTCTTGCCTTCTTGGACTCTCAGGCGGCATTGAAGTCCCTTCCCGCGATCATTTCAATCTTGGGTGAAGAGCTGAAGTGGAATGAGGCAAAGAAGCGCCAGGAGTTTGCTAATGGTGTCAAGTTCCTGCGATCCATGGGGCTGAGAGATGAAATTAGCGTGTAGAATATTCATTCACCACATATTCCTTTTGTTTTGGGGGGTTTTATTGTATTTTTGGCAAGCGATCTGTGTCCTCACTTCTTGTTTTTTTTTGGTTGTACGCTATTATAGAATATTGGGAATGCATTACACATATTCATTGGAAGGAAGGAAAGATCGTTATTGGGCTGACATCGCATGATCTTACCCAAGAATTATAGAAAGAAGTGCAATTAACATTTCATCGTATCTTCTGAGACTTTGATCGATCAAGAAGGTCCATAAGACCATCCCATATTCAACGCCCCAGCAGGAAAACTCGTGGATGCAGTAAAATAATCCTTACCGGTCAAGACACTGTCGATATTCAAAAAGGAGCCGTAAAGGCTATCGCCACTGTTTACCATGGCCGTCGGGAGGCGCGGGTACCTGAAAAAGTCAAAGACCTGGAGATATTCAAGATCCTCGGCCGTAACTGTCCTAGTTGGTAATGGTTTAGCGGAGCCTGACGACCGCTGAATAGCTGATATGTGGATTTCGTATGCTCGTCTGTGTCCATATGTTAATTAGTAAATTGGTGGTCATGGTAAAGGTCAGGGTGAACGTACCTTCGCATCATGGCGAGTGCCTTGGGGATTGACAATGTCATCGCATTGTTCAATGGCCATTCCATGCGGGACCGTTTGCATATCTGATTTAAGAGCTGAGCGTATTGGCGAGAAATGCTCCAGTATTGACCCATCTGGTCCAGAATGGATATGAAAAATTCGCAATTCGGATCGGTTTCAGCACCAGTACACGCGGCGTGCACAAGCAACAGTCGAGCAGCCACATACAAAGAAAAAGCAAAATGGGGTCCCAGTAGATTGAGCATGCCTGTGTTCATGACATCCTGAGCGATTTCGCGCAGACTTTGAACTGCAGTGAGGCAGCGCTGCGACGCATAAAAAGACGGTGTGAAGATATGAGATCTAACAGTTGGATATGCAGCACACGAGTGCAGGCGTACGACGGAGGTAACAAATGCAGCATGCAGATTGATCCAGTTTGAAATCTTGCTCGTGGGGTCCGAATGGCAGAGTTGGGAAACTCTGCTATAGTCGTCTGGTAGATTGCTGAGCCATGCGTTCAGCTCGTCATCGAGTTCGCGATAGGAATTTTGCCATTGCTCCACTTCGGCGAGAGAGCAAATGTCCACGGGAGTTTGGAGGAACATTTGTACACGGCTGAGGGATCGCATCACCTCACAGTGATATGAAAAGCTTCCCAGATTCTCTGGTTGGTTAATGAGTATGCTCGACCGGCCTGGACCACGGGAGTAGCGCGTCTCCACCGGTCTGTTTTGCGAAAACAAATCGTAGCGACATGGAAGATAGCGGTCAATTTCAGCTTCGTTCAGAACAAAGTCCGCAGTCGTGGCCACCGCGGAGTAACGCTCTATAATGTAAATCATCCAGAAGAGCCGTCGGCGACCTTCTTCCTCAATCCAAGAAATGGGCTGCGGAAGAATACTGTCGCGCAGGGGACCAAGAGGTGCCTTTTCGCGAGCAGCAGACGATTGGGATAACCCTGATTCGACCTGGAGGTTGAGCTGCAGGACAGTGCGGACCATCACTGCAACGATATTGACGCTCGGCAAGTTATCGGATGATCCAAGGAAATCCCACGCCAGAATAACGAGAGCCTGCAGCGATTTGACGGAAGGATTTTGCAGGCTGTGAAGCAGAACTTTGTCTCTGGCAGCCGCATGGTATCGCTTGCGGTATCCGGGGGTCAGTGACGAATCTTGACTGAATCGCAGCGCAGTGGCCACAATGGCATAGAGTACAATGCGATCTGCCTCGTCCGGGATGGATGGGCCGAAGAAGCCGTCGACAGTTACTTTCCGATCCAGAATGGGACACCACGTATTAACATGCTTGAAGTACAAATCGACGAGACCGTACAGTAACTCGCCCGCGGGCAAGTCTGACGGAGACTCGGCTGTTTCCGTCAATCTGCTACTGTTCATCAAGGACTGCACAGACATCAACTCCGAGGCGCGAGCAGAGCGAATGCGTTCATCGGTAGGCTGGGTCTTTGTCCCTGGCGATGGCATGGAGGCTTGGAAGCGTTGGTGGTGGTCATCGCCGGTCGGCTCTTTGCCGTAATCCTGGACGCTGAAATGATCTTCTACTCGACGACCTAGAGTATGCAGCATTGCCTCCAGACGATTGACCTTGGTCTCAAGCCCGCGCACATAGCCAGCTCGGAATCCTGGCTTCTGTCGTGCGCGGTATATGCACTGCCGGCCATGGCGCGTACACCATCCACACGAGGGCTCCGCGCGATCACATCGCACTTTCCGAGCTTTGCATAGTTCGCAACTACAGGCTCGTAGTCAGACTGGAGTTATGGTCATGGCTTGAAGACACGGGGGCAAAACACATACGCCGTTATGGCTACAGCTTTCTTCCGGCGTTCCAGCTCCTCCGCATCGTCTTCCTCGGTTTGACTGCCAGGGAACGAAGACTCTCTGACCGCATCACTGGCGCTCATGGTTCCATATCCTGCCTACTTCCATCTGTCAAGAACGATTGCCGCTGGGAGAAGCTGCCCGTTGGATCCAAGTTGTTGCTTCCACGGTTGAGAAAAGATCGCGCGGGACATCTTAATGGTGGGCTTTGTAAGTCGCACGCAGCGGTATGAATACGCTCTATGATTGGCGACGCGGATGTTCCCGAAATGGCGGAGTGGTCAACGGCTCGTTTATGGCAAGGCATCTTCCGGCGTGGTTTCGACCTCTCTGGTTTTCCTTTCTTTTTTCTTTGTTCTTTTTTGCTCCTCTGTTTCTCCATGATCTCGATATATTACTAGCCCGGTGAAAGGGAAAAAAAAGGAAGGTTAACCACTCGCGAGGCCGGCCCATCCCGGTCTTCAGCTAGGTCGGGAGAGCATTCAAGGCTCACAATGAGTCATTGTGATTGATCTTGCGACACTTCTACTTAAGCTGACGATCCCTCATCGGTCATTCATTGGCCTAGTCAATCCTATCCATCTCATTTACATAATCCGTAAGCTACAATGGCGGACCCGCGAGTGCTCAACATGGATGCTTTCACACCCACAACGCACACTGGCATCACGCCCATGCTCGACCCGGCCACCAACCACCTGAAGCGCCCATTCACAGTCTGCGTGATTGGCGCGTCGGGGGCCATTGGCGCCGGAGTCGCCCAGTCATACGCGAGCGCTGGCTGCAGCGACCTCATTCTTGCTGGGAGAGACCTGGACAAGCTGAGCGCCGTCGCCAAATCGCTTCCCGGAAGCATCTCGACACACATCCAGCACTGCGACATCGCGGTCGCGGACTCTGTGTGCGCGCTCGCCGAGTTCATATCCTCAGCTGTTCCATCGCTCGACGCACTCGTCCTGGTGAGCGGCATCTCCGGCGCCGTCGAACTGCGCATCACTGATGGATCGCCGGCGGACGGTGGCTGGGCTCAGGTGTTTGGCACCAACACTCTAGGCACATACCACGTCGCCCACTACTTTGTGCCGCTTCTGCTCAAGTCCGAGACCAGGGCGTTCATGGTCGTCGGCTCAATTGCAGCCTGCATCACCAAGGGCATCATTGCCAACACGAAATACTGCGTTAGCAAATTCGCGCAGGCGCGGATTGTTGAGTCGGTCGCTGCGCAGTTCAGCGACGAAGGGCTGTTGGCCGTCAGCGTGCATCCAGGCGCGGTTGAAAGCGCAAATGCCGTGGCGAATGCCCCTGCAGAGTTTCGCAAATGTAAGCAACTTCCCCGGATACTCAAATATGCACCGCGCTGATTTGACTTTGGAAGACCTGACGGACGACCCTGATCTATGCGGGGCATTCTGCGTCTGGATAACCCAGGATCCCTCCCGGTTTCGCTGGCTCAGTGGCAGGCTGGTTAGTGCTACGTGGGACCCAGAAGAGCTTCTGGCGAGGAAGGACGAGATTGTCAAAGGCGACTTACTTAAATTCGAGGCCAGGACTACATTGGATCAATAAATACGTCGTAATCTAACTAGACCATAATCGACGTCCGGCGTCTGCCTAATCTGTGGAATGAGATGGTGCATGGACCCTTTTGGTTCGCAGGTACTTAGGTCATTCTTACAGTAATACCAGGCCAGGCTGAGCGGGGTTCTCGTAGCCGGTGAGTGAGGCTCTGCAACTACACAGTTCTCCTATAATCGTATCTGTTGCTCTTGAAACTGGCTCGCGATTCCTAAACCCTGCACTTTACCACGGCCATTACCACGCCGGACTACAACTACATCATGGCTTCCAACGACAATGATCCTGGAACTGCAGAAGATAACAGCTCCGACAGCGCTGAGATTGCAGAACATAACAGCTCTCGGGATGATTAATATAATCTTTGTGACTTCAAACACACATGGGGCGATCTGGACAACGCCGTGGCCGAGAAGATGATTGAGGTATTGCTAACCCCCTTTCATGCTTTGATTCCCGGATTTGGGAATTCTCAAAGCCAGCTTTTCTGATCTCGATAGACAATAGAGTCAGGATATTGCTAAAAAAAAAGTATTTTGACTCTAGGAGTGTAAAATGGATGCCTGTTTGGATATGTACGTGAGAGGCCTGGTTGAGATACGCCCTCAGGAGAAGTCCTCTTGGAGAGAATCCCTACCTAACACGACCCAATTCGAAGGCGAGGATGCTAAGAAGCATAACCGTATCTTGAATGAGCTACGAACTAACGTGAATTCGTTGCTGCCCCGATATCTTGAAAATGATGAGCCCGACATCCTAAGCAACGAAAAGCTAATGAGCAGACTCAAAAAGAGATGTGATTTGGAATCGAGGGAGTATTTGATACAGCTGGCGGCAATGTAGATTCCTTTCGTGGCGCTCTTTTAGACATTTCGATGGAACAGCGATATCAACGAAGGTCCCACAGTGACCAGGGAGCAGGTTTGGAAGCCTGTCGCCAGCTCAAACACTACATCAACAGCCAAAGTGCCTCAGCATCCTTCACCTGTGGAGGGACCATCCCTATTGGGGAACCAGGCAAAATTGACTCCTCGGCCTCTTATAGTAGGAAATGCTCTGCTCCAGTCAATATCTTCTGGACCTCGAAAGGCAAGTCAAAGGCATGGAAGATGGTGCTACCGCTTATTGACGATGCAACTGAATCTAGTGATTCATCTCTTCAACAGCTTGTCAAAGGCTGTGATCCGGCAACTTTTGGCAAGGGTCAGAAAGATGTCCTTTACCCCGAGTATCGCAAAGCGGGCAAGATGGACACGAGTCGCCACGGAACACAGACTGTACGATGTTACACATCGAAGGGGGGAAGGACGAAGACGCGGAGGCTGTAAGTAAAGCGGTGTGGCCGACTTATCATCTGCCCGGTATCTTTTGGATAAATGAACCTAAGCATCAAGAGATGGCGTTTAGTTACCTCGTCTATGGGAATGAGGCTGACGTGCACACTTGTTACTCCTGCGCTGCGACCCTGGCAGTAGTCCCACCTGTGAAAGACCGGAAAGAGGTGCTAGATAAACTGTGAATGTTAGAAGAGTGATCTTTTCAAAATGCAATGAAAAGATCTGGCTACTAGGGGCGGTGATGAAGGATACTAGAACGTAAGCTGTTAGAAGTTCAAGGGCTATTGCTAAGACACAGTGCTCAGAAATTCGGCGAATATCGTATTCCTATATCATTGTATACACAGAGAGCTGCTGATATTCACATAGTGTTGGAAGTTAGCGATTTCGCAAGGATCAATGGCGGTCATCTCCGCAGTACATAGCAATTCAGCTCGTTTTCACTAACTTCTTTGCTCCTAGCATGCTGCCATGCAGTGGCTTTTCCGGTATTTCCACAACGTCAAATCCGACACGATAAACTTCCGTTGAGGATTCCCCAAGTTCTATCGCTGTGGGTGGTGAAACGATGGCCCACCAACCAGACAAACTCCCATGGAATATGCTGATCCAAAATCTGGAATACTACTCCCTAAACCACTCGGTACAGCCACCGGCATCAAACCTTTACCTTGCACTCAGACCAGACCAAAGTAAGGACATAACAACCTTTGCAAAGACTTTTTCCCAAACACTTTCAGAACATATTTCTCTCGAGCGCGAAAAGTACCCAAGAACTTATGATCCTCCGGATGAAGACGATCTTATCGTCGACGACGCTACAGCTAGGAGAATCAGCCCGGCTATCGCTAAACGGACCTGGTTTTTTCACACAGATCCGAAACTAGATAGTGAAAATTTGCTCAACACACAGCCATGTCACCATTCTACCGACGAAAATACTCGGTATGGTTATGACGACTATGTCCCGGGGGACAGCAACTACTCCGATGGATTCAAGTTTAACTGTAAATGCGCACTCCCCCTGCGGGAAAGAAAACGACACGCTTTTTTACGCAAATATCGACCTAATGAATGCTACGGATTTTATCATGTCAACAAGGCTGCTTTTTTCAATCTAGATGTCGTCAAGACCCTGTTCATGCATGGCGAAATGGACCCGGTTCTCCGTGTCTGCTCGCATCCGAATGTTGGTTACGGTCTCTGGCAAGATGTGCGCCCGTGCGATTGCGACAATGATGATTTGGGCTGGGATCAGCTATAAGATGGCCTTAGAGGCGTATCTTGTTCTAAATATTTTGTATGATTTTCCAGCCCTGCAATCCCAGTCCCAGTCCCAGTTCCAGGAAGACCGAGAGGACCAGCAACGCAAAGACGACCACCGCAACACAAAAGTATACCAGGAAATGCTACACCGATGCACCAAGAATTTTGGATGTCCAATTTCAAACTTCCCGCACCAGCGATTCTTCGGGATCACAGACGAACATTTCGGAGAAGAGTTCTATATTACTAGATATGCAGCGGAAGGATGGCCTGTTCTTGCCAACGCCATAGTGGCATGCAACTTTAGGGCTAGCTTCAAGGCCAGGCCTAGAAACGAGGAGTTCTGGGAAATAGTCTTCTCGTCGGACAGAAGGATTGACGGATTTATGTTTCCATTCGGAGCTATTCCTTTTGATGTCTTTTTGAACCACTTGCATAACGAAGCTCCATATCTTCTGCATGAGAAGGAGGTTACTGAGGTCTGCCACCTTCTGTGCAGTTGGACTAGGCTGCCGTATGAGCTTATCCTTTTGATTATGGAGTTCGCAGGGTATAGTGAACAGAGACGCCTACTTCCTGTTGCACATGATCCGTTAAATCTGCAGAATGGGGAGGAGTTGGAGAAGTACCTCGAGGAGTGCTGGGGGATTCTGGTTAGGTGTGGTATGTTCGCTGAGGCACTGGGAGATCCGATCGACTGGGAAGATGAAGTGAAGCATCGACTGACTTGGATGTTTAAAAGACCGAAGATGCAGACATTGAGTATGTAATGGAAAGAATAACGCGTCAGCATGAAACTAGGAATACCGTATGTCCTTGTACGTTCGAAAATTAAGTCTAGTCTTCGACATCCCGATGAAATACGAGGTGCTCCATGACAGTCCACCATGCTTCGTTGTTCTTGATAATGAATTCCGACTTCGCATCATGAATATTCAGTCAGCTTGTAATCCACAACGCCGGATCCCCGGTTGGCCATTGAGTATGGAGCAGATAATGGAGTAGATAATATTCAGACATGCGCCTTTTTTTTTGGCTCCTGGGTGCGCGCCTGGGTGGGCGCTTTTCTCAAATTATAACCAGCCGCTAGTTACTGGGTAAGCAGTAAGCACTATTCAGAGTGCTCGCTCCGTAGGAATTTTAGAAATGTATTATTTATCAAGCGAGTAGTATAATTCGGTGCCTCACATCAGATAGTTCTTTTTTTTTTTTTTTTTTTTTTGATAACGCAATTACCTTGTACTCAGAGAAGGTTGAAGAGATGGCATAAAAGACATATCTAGGTATATGACAATCCCAGGATTGCAATAATAGTCAGATTTAAAAAAGTAGTGCTTATTCGTACGATGTGAGAAATTAGAACAATTTAATTGAGAAGCTGAAAAATAAAATGCAAGAATTCATTTTCACTATCCATTTAGATTAATGACTTATGAAAATTTAGTTACGAATCGTGTGCATCTAGCTAAGCAGAAACTAAGCAATAGCTAATTCCAGAGAGTTGAACTTCAGAGGTTTGATGGCTCAGGATTTGATAGAGGTAACTCATACCTCCACATCACTGACTTACCTAATGCAGTATCTGAGTAGCAGCGTGTTTCCAAAGTCGCAAAGAGCAAGCATTTATCGTAACCACGTATTCATTTACAAGTTATATAGCCGCTGTCGTACTTAAAACTTGCCGGACTTCTGAAGCTCGCGCGCGTATTCCTCAATGCTCTGCTTTTCAGTCAATTTCAAGTCAAACGAATAAATCTTTTCAACTCGTTCATCCGTGTCATTCATGAACTTCTCGGCGCTGTCGATTTCTGGGTCCTCTAATTTCACTAAGATGCCTTGTCGGCGGCTGCTGGCAACGAGGTATTGAGACCGTTCTCGGCGGACCGAGTCATATGCTTTGAATGCACTAGATATAGCGGCGCTCTTATGGGAGAGTGCATTTGGGCCTCCCTCCAACAGTGTTGCTGCCACCTTTTCCAAAACAGTCGTTAAAACTAGTGCATCTTCAACTCCCATACCCGCGCCGAGGCCGTGGTGAGGCGAGGATCCATGAGCGGCGTCTCCAGCAAGGGCCATAGGACCGTAAGCGTAAGTTTGCAGAGGGTAGTCCAACGTATCAAACAAGCCCCAGCGGCTCTGTTCGTCCGGAAGCTGATCAACTAGTTGCCGGACAGTAGGGCTGAACTTGGAGAATGCTTCCATAATTTCGGTTTTACTTGCTTGGACTGTCTGTTTGTGATAGTCGGGCCAACTGCCGCTAGCATCTCTAACAAAGGCTGCCACATTTAGAAATTTGTTGTTGCCAACTGGATAGGTGATGATATGTGCGCCATGTCCTACCCAGGCAGCCATACCGGTAGCATAATTGCCCAATATGGGAGCAACCTTGGTCATATCAGCAAGACAACGGTATGCGCTCTCGTTGCAGTAATGTGGGACAGAGGCGGGATTTTCCTCCCCAAGAAGAATATATCTAACACGGGATTTGATGCCATCGCAACCAATTACTGTGTGAAGTCAAAGGTTCAGCTTTGCTAATACAGGACAACATCTAAGAGAGCAACAACATACCAGCATCAGTCTTCACCTCTGTGCCGTCCGTAAATGTCAAAGTTATGCTGTCTTCATCACGTTTGATGTCATCCAGCCGTTTGCCAAGTTTTATGCATTCGCTTGGTAGAAGCTTGAGCAGTTGGCTCATAAGTTGGGATCGCTGGCAGAGGATGCGGCCTCGTTCTCGGATGTACATGTCGAATAACTTGTCCTGTGGTCGCAGAGTAACATCTTCTTCCGGGTTAGAGGCATTGACTAAGCCGATGCCTCGGGTTGTTCTGAAACCGACTTCGTTCATAGCTGCAGGAATTCGCGGATCAAGAACTCCCATGCACTCTTCATTTCCAAATGTAAGCCCGATTCCAGCTCCAATCTCTTGAATTTCGCTGGCCTGCTCGTAAACAGTGACAGGGATGTTGCGGTTCAACAGACCCAGAGCAACGTGCAAGCCAATTAAACCGCCGCCGATGATGGCTACATCAAAAGGTGCCGCGGATTTATTTTCGTTGCCATTGGAAGAAGCAGTATTCGTCGCCATTTCGTCTTATGTTGGAATATTTATGTTTCCTGGTGGCGTTAAATAGCAAATAAATACGCTTTCGAAGCGTGTAAAGGGGTTGCCGGAGTTACAAGCATAACGATTCTTCCAGGACGCTTAGGTGGTATTTATACCACAGATTCCCGGGTTCGACAGTTGGACACTTCAGCACATGCATGAACACCGCCCAGGACGCTAGGTATTTTAGTGTTGGTAGGCCGTATTATCCAATCACTCTTGGTGTGGTTTGTATCAAGTTTCAGTCTCCATCGACATATATCATACGACGCAGAATTCGTAGAGTACCACGGTAGCTGTAAGATTATTAGGGGCTAAAGAACATCGGGGTAGCCAGAACACCCACTAATATAATAATCCATACAGCTTCAGTCCACACGAAGCAACTGCCTATAAGCGGCATAACTAGTGCTGACGTACAGAGTATCCGAAACAGCCATACAAACTTAGGGTTCATGATCATGTATCCAGGATTCCAAGTCCATAACTGTAGCCTTGAAATCTGTGTGAATGATGGCTGTGCGTTGAGTTTTATTCACGGAAATATCTAGGCATGAAGCTGATGTCTGAAAAAGGTCAGCCTGTCGTAAGTCCTAAGGTAAATTTGGCTTTTATTCCGTATCTCCGGCATAAAATATGCATAATATCCTTATCGTTATCATTCGGCTTGATTATTCCAGCCAAATAAAGTAAATGGTAAACCTGGACAAAAATCTGAGCAAAATGAAGTGCACGTTCTCTGAAAGCCTCAGCGTTCAGGTGTCTGTTTTCGACCGACTAGGTATAGCGTCATAGGGCCAACCACTCACAGCCGACATATATTGCTGGGTGAGGTCTTAACAACGGATTCGGAACGCTGTATTAGCTAGTATTGGGAATACTATATAATCTGCATATCTAACTAAAGAGAATATTCAGGGGGTTATTTGAGGCCATATTTATGATCAGAATAGGGGTCAACTAGGACACGTATCTGATGCCTATTCTGACCAATTAGGTGCACCTCTGGGACATACGGTGTTGGATTACATGCTGTATTCGGAATAGCGGTCATAATCCGCTGTCAGGTCTTCTCTCAGCCAACATTCACTTAGGGTAGCTAGGGTTATTCGGGTTTACTGCGGATAACGTTTACCCGAAGGTCGGCGCCGGCCGATCACGTGCATGACCAACTGCGGACCACTGATTGGCTGCACGTGACTTGGAGCAGCATCGGGCCGGCGGGTAAGCGCTTCTCCGACGCGTGCTCCATTAGAATTTCGAGCAATCACAACACGCGCGCAACAGCAGCCAGCCAAGTAGTTAACGTTGATTCAAGCTTTAACTCTCATTTGCGTGTTAATCCGCGTGCTGCGGCTGGCTCGTGGCCAGCCGCCACCCCGCACTGCGATTCTGCGGCGGCCTGGGTTCGGCCAATAGCACGCATACAGTCCACTCGGCATGTAGCAACGGTATTTTGCCAAAGCCGAGAGGAACTACCGACCCTGGATCGCTCTCGTCGTCGCCATCCTGCTGGATGTTTATATGTAGAGTGCATGCCCCTCGTCGGCCTGCCTTCTTTCTCCATCTCCATCTCATCATCATCATCATCATCATCATCCTCGCTGTCCCTCTCCTTCTCCAGTCCGTTCTCCCCACTTATCAACTTCCCCGCACATCCAAGATCATCCATACACAATGTCTACCAACTCGCGATTCGATCCCAACTTCACTCCCTATGTGGTCAACGCCATGGGACCCAAGACTGACGCTCGCGCGCGTGTGGTTTTGGGCTCGCTGATCAAGCACATCCACGACTTTGCTCGTGAGGTCGAGCTGACCCCGGCCGAGTGGATGCTCGGCGTCGAGTTTATTAACTCCATTGGCAAAATTAGTACTCCTATCCGTAACGAATGCCACCGTATCTGCGACGTTATTGGTCTTGAATCGTAAGTCGCATGAGCAAGTGCAGCGCAGCCTCAACCCGTTCAATCAATTCTGAACTGATCTTGTGTAGTCTCGTCGACGAGATTGCCAACAAGATCGTCACCGAGCAGGGATTATCCCCTACCTCCAACGTCATTCTCGGCCCCTTCTGGTCGCCCAGTGCTCCCTTCCGTAACCTCGGTGACAGCATCATCCAGAACCCCAACCCAAACGGCAAGGTCACCTTCATGCACGGTGTCCTCACAGACATGGAGACGGGCAAGCCAATTGCGGGCGCCGTCCTCGATATCTGGCAGGCCTCGGCCAACGGCCAATACGATTTTCAAGATCCAGCGCAGACCGAGAACAATCTCCGCGGGAAATTCACTTCAAATGAAAAGGGAGAGTTCTGGTGGTACTGCTACCATCCTACTCCCTACTCCCTGCCCACCGACGGCCCTGCCGGTGTGCTGCTTAATGTCATGGACCGCTCCCCCATGCGCCCTGCTCATATCCATCTTATGATCACCCACCCCGACTACGCCACTGTCATCAACCAGATTTACCCCAGCGACGACCCCTTCCTCAACATCGACTCAGTCTTTGCCGTCAAGGACGATCTAGTCGTTGATTTCAAACCCAGGACTGGCGACCCCAAGGCCGAGCTCGACCTCGAGTACAACGTTACCTTGGCTCTCAAGAAGCACCACCCCAACCCCAACTCCGCTCCCCCTGTTTCCTCCTTTGAGCGCAGCAAGGAGAAGAGCGCTGCTCGAATCTAAACCAAACCTTGTATCATTTCTACCATTTGGATTAGAATTTCTGGGTTGTGTGGGTTCAGTATGATTACTGATGCCGTTTCAATTTGCATTACATTCTTCCCTCTGAACGGAAGACTCGTTACGCCGTCAACGATTGTATACTTTCAATGTGAATATTAAACCTTATGTTAGCCATGGACACAAATAAAAAATGAAAAAAAAAAAAACATTCTATATACAAATTTTTAACGGTGAATTCACTTTGAGTAGATGGTATATGCCTTATGTTGAAATATTAGGCCTAGATGGCCAATGTCATCAATCCCACACTCACCGAATATTCTTCCCAGGTTGTCATCACATTCCTATGCGTCCTATCTACAATCAATCATGGAATTACTAAGCTATCGTTATGCTTACTAATGAATCACACAACTTAGGCAGTTGTTAAAGCGGCACTCGCCAAATTACATAACCCTCTCGCACCACACGGTAAAGCGGCGAGTGGCTTTCGCAAGTGAAGTTTCCCGAAAGAGACATTTTACCTTGCTGCTTTGTCAGTTTTAGCAATTAACTAGATTAGATTATGTGTACAATATAGAGATGTCAGTTGAAGATGCTTAACCAGGTAGTCCGTGAACAGCAATAATTGGTATTTAAACACAGCTACGTCCGCCTCAGAGTGGAAGAATACTTTATGTATTCAACCTCACATAGAAGCCTTTGAATACCTACTGTTTCATTTTGGCCATAAATCAAGTTTAATCTACCTTTAAGGGAACAATATGTCGGTGACACCAAGAGATCTATATGCCATTCAACCTGGAGCGCGCATTCTAGTGACAGGTGCCAATGGCTATATCGGCTCACACGTTGTCGACGTTCTACTGTCCCTGGGCTACCTTGTTCGAGGTACCGTACGCGCAGAAAAGCCGTGGCTCAATGAGTTCTTTGACTCGAAGTATGGTTCCGGTCAATTCGAGACCGTGATCGTTCCTGAACTAGATGACAAGGACGCTCTAGTCACGGCCTTGAAGGGTGTTAGCGGCATTGCCCATGTTGTATGTACAATGATTGAGCCATACTCTTTTCCACGGACATTACCCTCAGAGTCTGGCTAATAGCATAAAGGCTACAGACGTCTCATTTGATCCCGACGCCAAAAAGGTCATCACTAATGTCGTCTCGGCTACGGAGGCTGTCTTGAAGGCTGCTGCAGAATCGTCGGTGAAGAGAGTGGTTCTCACCTCGTCATCTTCATCGGCATTACTGCCACAGCCTGGTGTGGATGGCATAGTAGTGACGGAGGGTAAGTGACAGTCAGCATATGTTGCCTATAGTCTCGGGATCCTTCCCATTCATTATCGATACTAACAAGGACCTAGATACCTGGAATGATGCTGCCGTCAAAGCGGCATGGGATGAAAACACCCCTGCAGATGTAAAGCCCTTCGCTGTCTACGCAGCTTCTAAGACGGAGGGTGAACGCGCCGCTTGGAGATGGATTGAAGAGAATAAGCCAGATTTTACCTTCAACTCAGTACTTCCCAACTTCGCTGTAAGTAGACTAACAAGAATCCGTCCTTTCACATTTCTTTCGGATCTTGCTGACTCGTTCTCTCCTCATCTTACTCTCTAAAAAGATCGGAAGGATCCTTCATCCTGAGATACCCGGCTCAACTATGAAATGGGCCCTCGATTTATTGCGAGGAAATGACGGGGTTTTGAAACTTCTACCTCCCCGTATGTCGACTGCCATCCCTCTAATGTTTGCCTTAGGACTAACTGTTATTTACAAAACTAGAATGGCACATTAATGTCCAAGATGTTGCCCGTATCCACGCTGTTGCTTTGCTTGAGCCGAATGTCAAGTCCGAGCGTCTATTCGCATTCGCAGCTCCATTCACATGGACTGGAGTAATCGAAATTTTTCAGAAACTTCGTCCGTCAATTAAAACGCTCGTTAATCCACCAGAAAACGAACTTCCTGATCTAAGTGACATTGTGCCTTCTAAGAGGGCGGAAAGTCTGCTAAGGTCCTTCTTTGGGCAGTCTGGTTGGATAGGGCTGGAGCAATCATTAAGAGATGGAATTGATAGTGTCAACTTATAAGCTGTCTACCTAGTTACATAGTGCCAACGACATAATTCGAGAATCTTGATATCTCAATATATCTACCAGTGGTGAAGATACTAGCGTTGATCTAAGAACTATAAACGAGACGTCAAACACCGCATTTCTAGCAAGTAAGGTCCATCTGTTTTTTGACACGGTAGTTGCTGTTTCAGTAAAATTCACGATATATTGGTTCTACTAATTGCCAGCCAAAGCTCTTTTTCGACAAGTCCCAGACTGAGCATATGAAGGCCTTTGGAATTATCCGTGGCTGGAAGGAGGTATATGATCGAACCAGTGGCATTTGGCATGATTCTGAAATGAATTCTGTGAAGAACCCAAGATTGTGCTCATGCGTCAAACTTGCACTATTATCGCAGCTTCTACGACTTCCACGGTGCTATCCCTGTGGTGGTCGACTTCATCCTGGCGTTACACAGCAGGCGCATGTTCAATAGCCGTGCAGTGCATTTCGGATGGCTGCCATGAAAAAACACCAGGTTATGTGAAAGAACTGACACGGAGATTCTCGGGGTACAGTTTGTTGCTGGGATTAAAATGTCTAACTAAAGAATTTGCTTTCCAGCTACATTGGTAACAGTTCAGAATATGTGGATCTCTGCTTCGAAACCAGGATGCGATTGTCCGGAGCTATCAGACACGTCTTCCACTACGTACCTAGGTATTTAGGGCACCAAACACCGAGTTGCCTCATTTAGAAGACGCGGCTCACCGCATCGATGCATCCCCCCAAATACTGCATACAGATCGAAGCTAAATAGACACGAGATCGATGTCTACGGCCACCGGGAGGCTCCGAAGCCGCTTCGATCGGCGTCAACAAGCGAATACCAACACTGTGTAACTATGTACCTATCTCACGGCGGGCTGGCGGCATTGTCGATGATCACTCGTTCCCGATTTATCTCGCGGAGAATACATAATAATCATCACGGAACTAAGTCCGTTTCCGCTTCTGCCAGCAAACAAAGAAAGCTCTCCTTTTATGTGGTTGAAATAGATACTATTGTTTCTAGTACTTCACGGCATATACCGCGAAGATCAAAGAGCTAACAAAGTACTCCGTACAAGCAAATATTTTGCTAGATTACAAGCGGGGATCAATGCGAAATCCGTCTTTGAGCTAGACTCTAACTGCAAATCGATCGGCGACATGTGTCGTAGTTTGCCAGCTGAAATACTTGTAGATCGTGGATGATGTTCTCAGCTACGATCAATGCCTTCGGCTTTGTGGATAAATCCCTAGGCTTATAAGCCGCTTCGTCCCTCATTTTTTTTCCTTTTTTTCAAAAAAGGAGCCTTGTCTTGAAACCCAGCCCCCTGTTTCTTCGTCTAGCCTACTTCTCTATTTATCAAGGCCTTGTTCCCTTGCTTTATCACATAGGTCGAGCTTTACACACACAACACAACCGATCAAAACTATGCACGAACGTGACGTCCTCATCGTTGGTGCTGGCCCTGTTGGCCTAAGTCTCTCCCTTCTTCTGGCCTCATATGGCTACCGAGTTACAGTCTTGGAGCGCCATGCTGCTGTCTATCCTCTTCCTCGAGCTGTGTGCCTGAGTCACGACAACCTGAGAATATACGACGGGCTTGGTCTCCACGCCGCATTATTTGAAAATGAAGCCGTAACAGATATTCGTGGAACGGTTTCTGATTACGCTGAGATAGTCGGTGTCGCAGGGCAGATTCTCGGTCGTGTTCCTTACAACGGACCATCTACGTCTGGCACGAGCTCGGTATTTAGAATCCACCAGCCTGCCTTTGAAGAAGTCTTGGAAACCGCCTGTGTAGAGAGAGGGGTAGAAGTGATTCGCTCGACGGAGGTCGAGAATGTTGTCGATATGGGCACCCACGTCGAGCTATACGCGAAGACTCGTGGGGGCGAGGTTCAGAAGTGGTCAGGATTCTTCGTTGCTGGATGCGATGGGGCAAATAGTGTCGTTCGTCGATGCATGAAAACCCCCTTTACTGACTACCCTGGCCCAAAGACTCGCTGGTTGGTGGTTGACGTCAAACCGAAATGCAAAGGGGCAGCGGAAAAATGGAAGGATTTCCATACCGCAAGGTCCTATATGGATCCTCAACGGCCACGCGCTTCCATCTATGGTACTAAACACCGTAGAAGATGGGAATTTATGTTGATGACCGAGGAAGAAAACAAGAAAGCTACAGACCCGGATTTTATATGGTCCTTACTCGCAGAGTTCGATTGCACCCCGGAGACTGCTGAAATTGACAAGACATCCGCCTACGTCTTCAAAGGAGGATGGTGTGAGACATTCAATCAAGGTCGTATTGTGTTGGCCGGAGACGCCGCTCACATAACCCCACCGTTCCTGGGACAGGGACTGAATTCAGGAATCCGCGATGCTAATTCCCTTGCCTGGAGACTTGATCTTGCCTTCAGATATCCCCAGGGCGGATGGCGCAAAACACTGCACGACTGGAGTGTGGAGCGACTGGGCGGAGTCAAACCATTGATCCAGACCTCTGTGGGTATAGAAAGTCATTCCACAACTACCGATCTGGAGAAGGCTGTCCTTCGAGATCAAGCCTTCATTGAAAACGCGAGTGCGCCGCCCATAATCCCAGAGCAGATAGGGTCACCGGGAACATACATTCCTCATTCTGAAACCGATGCTGTATCCTGTAAGGCAAATGGAACCTTGTTCGTTGACGGAATGGTGAGGATGAACGAAAAGCAAGGCAGACTATGCGACCACCTTGGTACCCAGGGCTGGTTGCTTCTTACCTCGTCCAAGGGAAATGGTAGCGGCAGTGTACCTATGTCTGCAGAGACGGTGACAACTTTTTCAACGGTTTTCCGGGGAAAAATGCTCACCATTGGACAAGGCAATGTACAAGACATAAGGGGCATCTTCTCTCGATGGTTTGAGGAGCACGATGTCATGGGGGTCTTGTTGCGGCCTGATCATTATGTATTCGGCGTCGCTAGAACATCTGCTGATTTCGAGAGCCTCGTTTTGAGAGCTGCACAACGCGTGGAGCCAGGATATCAGCTTCACTAGCCCCAGCATGTGAAGCCTGCGGTGGTGGCAAACAGCTTTTTGCGAGTAAATTAATCTGAGTGAATCATGATGGCCTGAAAGATTGCGAATGAAGGAGGCGGCGTCTTTGGAGTCAGATATTTCAGTGAACCTAGACTATCTAATTGGCAAAATACAGGCAAACCAGCGAAGTTGGTATTGACTCCTTCTTTCGACATGTATATTTCCTAGATAGTGATGTTGTTGGGACATAGAAGGTAGAAGGTCAAAGTCAGCAATTAGGGTTACGTTTTCTTAACCCTAAGTTGGGGGCCACTCCAACGAAAGGTACTGATAAGATGGCCACCAGACTAAAATAACTTTTGATTGATATTAACTGATATTGCTTTCGTAATTTCGAGTCAAAATCATAAATTAGTCTCCAATGCACTGCTGCGAGCTATTCGGAGACTTTCTCCCCTAACAAGCATCATTCCTCCGATGTCTGACAAATTGATGCATTGTTAGTTGTTAGTTACAAGCTATGGCGTACACGACCGTCAGGTTATATAATAGTATATAAAATCCCCTCCTGTGGAATAAATCGATTTTTGTTTAATGAATAGTTATTTCAATGTGGAAATTCTCAAACGTCGAACAAACAACATGCCACCTGCTCGTCCCGTTCAGACTGCTTTGATCGGCCTCTCATCCTCGGCCGTCACGGCTTGGGCGGCCGATGCGCATTTACCAGTGCTTGTGAACGCCCGGTACAAACATCTCTTCAACATCACCGCCCTCTGTAATAGCAGCGTCGCGGCTGCAAAATCCGCCATTCAAACCTACCAGCTCGATTCTTCATGGGTGCGAGCCTATGGAAGTCCCGAGGACCTCGCCGCTGATCCAGCGGTCGATCTCGTACTCTGCAACACACGAGCAGACAAACACTACGAAACGATTCTTCCTAGTCTGCGAGCGGGGAAGTCCGTCTACATCGAGTGGCCCATTGCAAGCAATCTGACACAGATTGATGAGCTGGTGGCAGCATTCCGCGCAAGTACTAACCCGTTGCAAGTGGCGGCAGTCGGTCTGCAGGGCCGGTTCTCGCCGGCCGTGCTGAAGATGAAGGAGCTTCTCCATTCAGGAAGCCTGGGGAGGCTATTGGGTACAGAAGTGACAGCATATGCAGGCACACAGAGTCCAGATGTGTTGTCAACGGGCTTGAAATACTTTGCGCAAAAGGAAGTTGGGGGCAACCCAATTACCATCGGATTTTCGCATCGTATGTTCTCTGACAGTCCCTTTTACAATCAAAGCGGCATTTGTATAGTATGGTCTGCTGATAAATTGCATGAGCAGTAATCGACTGGGTTCAGTCAGTTGTGGGCGACGTAGTTCCCGAAACAGAACATGTGCATTTCCAACTTCAGCACCCGGAAATACGCGTCCGAGACCCTAGAACTGGCGAATTAGTGGAGAAATTTGCGTCAGATGTCCCGGATTTATTGAGTTTGCATGGTGCGTAACAAGATAGGACAACTCTGTCATCACAAGCGAGACACGAGTCTCCAACTGTCTCGTTTGTACTGATCCATAATATTTCCTGCAGGCTCCCTTCCTGAATCCTCCTTCGCAGTACCAAAGGCAACTCTAGTTGCCTATTTTTCACGGGGCCGTCCTTTCCCCGGCGATCCCGCGATATCGTGGACGTTGAACTGCGAAAGGGGGACTATTCGCTTTGTCTCCCCGTCATCAACTGCGTTGCACGTGAATGGATATGAAGCGCCCATAACTATTACCGTCCATCAATTCAAGGCGAACAGGCTCGAGCAGGTACCTTGGACATGGTCAGAGGCACAGCTAGAATTTCCTCTGCGCGCGAGGTCTACCCAGGACTGTCTGGTAGCCCTTGTTGAAGGAAACAAAGAAAGATATGTTTCCTTGGAAGACGGCGCAAAGAGAGCGAGGCAGACTTTACGGTGGCTAGGCTCCTTTCAAGGCCAGAAATAGAATAATTGCTCGCAAGATGCCATGCCCCATACACTTGTAAGCCAACAATGCCAATTCTTAGATACAATTATTGTACTTAATAGTATAATTACGCAGACACGTTTCACGCTAACAATCTCATGAGTTGCCGTAGATTGCAAGCCAGTAAGCATCAAGATGTTTATGAGGAGCTATATTCTCAACTTATACTCCTCATTAGCAGAGATGCTCGTAAGAGACAAGGAAGGCGTCTAGGCGAATATGCCAGAGTTGACGTCTCCTCTGCCATCTGGTCGCCTTTCGCTCTGTGATCTTAGCCTTCAAGCTGTGCTCAACGCAGATAAATCTACCAAACTATTAAGTATGTTCCCCCCCGTGACATCGATGCATACATGTCGTGACACATAATGCTAGGTCGAATAACTATTTCTACATCTCCGTCACGGAGTTACAAATTCATTCTTCTGAAGCATCTGCGCACCACTCTGGCTAGCTCAATCAGAAATTTCCCCGCCTCTCTTGGGCCCTTGTTCCTCGAGACTGGCAGTCGTGTTCTCAACACCTACGCCAATCTTGCGGGCAACAAGGTATGTTGGAATGACTGCCAGGCCCCAAAGACCGAAATTCACTCCCACAGCCACAATTAGCTGCAATTTGACAGTGTTAGCTTTTTGCCAGGATATAATTTGAGATATCAAGTCCTACCGGTGCGTGAGTTGAGCTAATGCCAGATGCGACAGCTCCGCCAGCAGCCTCGACAGCGCGCACTGTCGATGTTAAACGGACGATTTCTGCCGGGTCTTTGGCCATATAGCCTGCGAGCCAGTATCCGTAGTTATATGCGAGGGCGCTGCGAATAGATATATCAGTGGCAGCTCCATCTACATCTTGCGTACGAATACCCACAAGTTGACCTGCAGTATAATATACAAGGCCCAGCCTCTGCCGAACCCTTTATCAACCCAGTCCAAATCCGGCTTGTGTAATCCATACTCGTGCTGAATGACGGTGGCCCAAATCCATGTGCCCCCGAAGAGCGCCATCAAGCCGATATACGAGAACCTGGCACGCTGATTCAAGGACAGTCGCTTCCAGTCAAGAAAACTGCCAAAGAGGATATTTGCCGTGATCTGCGCTAGGGCTGAAACCAAAGAAGCCAGGGCCCGGGATCGTACACTGAAGTAGAGAGACAGGTATGAACCAGCATATGACAATAAGAATGTTGCGTAGAAGAAAAAGGGTGCGCTGTGGATCTAGATAAGCAGGGGAGTCACTTAAGCGTATCAGGGGGGATAAGCTACACAAGAAGAAAGTCTTTGCGGCCGAGGATCTTTATGACCTCTTTGATCTCTGTCAAGGTGTGAATCTTTTCCGGGGCTTTCACTTGCTGGCCATCCCCTCGCTGCACTTTATTAGGAGGCGATAAAAGCAAAGCGACGAATGGCGCTGCACATTCTGATCAGATAGAAGACTAGTCAGTGGGATCTGCTGAGAAATGACTGGCTGGCTGGCTATCACGTACGGAGTGCAACAAATACGATGTACGTCCGCCAGTCTAAGCTCCCAGTTTTTGTGCCACTGTAATCTAGAACGAAGCATCAGTGTTTAGCCCTGGTGATTTGTCTGAGACAAGCTCCCACTTACTGAATGCCAAGTTGATGATGCCGCCGATGATCGATCCTCCCTGCCACATATTCATGAGGGATTATACCTAGGTATATGTGGAAGAACATACTCACATTGCGATAAGCAAGCCAATAAGCCAGATACCGGCCTCGACTGGAATCTTCCGGGTCTTTTCAAGATCAGCAAGCATATTGCAGTTGGAAAGCTAGATCTCGACGTACAGCTGATCATAATAGCTCCTTCAGCCGCCCAAAAAATTCCTGCCGTGATTCCACATACAGCCGATCCCAAGTACACAAACCATTGATTGCCATATCGGTTGCTGGTATACAAAGACGCCGCATACACACAGCTACCACAAGCATTATTAGCAAGTAGAAGTCCTCGTCAGCATCACCAGACACGTACTATCCGGTCGTTCCAAAGATCATTGCATTCTTCAGGCCAATCTTGTTTGCAACTACGCTTCCAAGAGCACAAGTAAGAACCATCATACAACCGAGAACAGAATTCGCGGCCCTGCAATAGATGTTAATATGATCTTTCCTTAGGGCCTTTTTCTTTTTTCAGAGAGTCCTTACATAACCAGGTACGGAGTCTCCTGGCCACCGGCACCAGTCGACTGCATGGCGTTGTACAGACCAGGAGCCAGAAATGCGCACCAACCAACGACAGTGGCCTGAAAGAACACCCGGCGGTACCATGATCGTTTGACTGCGGCATGGTGAAGACCAGCAACCTCCAAGATGGCTTCTACGGGGGGAACGTCGCTACCCATTTTTCACGAGTCTGCTGTTGCTGAAACAGAATAAGAAATCTCACCCAGCCCCCGGCCAAGGAGCAGGCAGAGGATGGGTTAAATGCATGAATTTCGGTGGAACAGTTCAATCACAAGCGGCATCGTCTCCACAAACTGGCTGATTCTTCAGACTCTCGCTATCGGACTAGGGACTTGTGTCCGGTGTGAAACCTTGAGGGTTTTTCTTCAACAGCAATGAATTTATCGGGCCGCGATCGCGTGCTGTTTGCCGTCATCAGTGCTGCTGATGATGTGCTGTGGCCCAGGCTAGGACAGTAAAACCTTCCTATAACGAACCCGAATGTGCGCATTATAAACCTTGAATTTCTTAAATGTCTCGTATAAAATTTGTTAAAACCTGCATATTACGAATCCCTTATATAAGATTTATTGTAGAGAGGTAGTCTGTGTTAAGTAAAGTAGCTATACTTAGATAGGTTGAATTTATACCAAGCCATTGAATGTCCTAAATGGATATAACGAATGCCTATTCATAACGAAAAGAAAGGTAATCATTCATTCGAGATGGGCTTTACTGTGTCAAGACATAATAGCGTGACTATCCTTGGTACGAGAGATTTAAAGTCTGGTTTAATCTATCTGCAAGGCACTAGTATTACTCTCAGACATTAGTCGGAAAGCCTTTTTATTGCACCATCGCAACAGATACGTATACTATACAACTGGCGTAATATCTATTCGTCCCGGCCCTGCCCTAACGTCGTAGCGACTATTGCAAAATCCAATTCTATTCCACAGAACGCAATGGCGGTTGCTTCAAGCTATACGGATTCCCAACTTGCATCGGCAGAAGACACGTTAGAGCCGTTCACCTTTGAAGGACAACAAGATACAGCGACGTTTGGTCTTGGATGGAGTGCACCCTTCCCTTCGGCACTCAAAGTCAAGACCAGAACAAAAGATCTCACGGCGAGTGTTGAAGCAATGCGCGGCTTTGCTCGGTCCGGCGAACTACATCGTGTTATAAAGCACCATGGCGGCGCAGTCCTGATCAGGGGCTTGCCGCTTCAAACACCAGACGATTACAGCAAGGTCGCCCATGCCTTTGGCTTTCGTCCACATGTCGAAGTCGGTCGACCGCCGCTACGCACTGTGTTGGCTCCAAACGTCAAGACGGCGAACGAAGGACCGCCCGAATTGCCCATCTGGCCACACAATGAATACGGCTGGTCGACCATCAATCCGGCCTGGCTCACGTTCAGTGCGCTCAAAATTCCGGAAGAAGGCGGCGCAACTCCGATAACATCGTCAATATACATTGCGGACCAGTTGTCCAAACTGGCACCAAAATTTCTCTCCGATCTTAGGGCCAAGGGCGCCAAATACACTTATAGATACACTGTCAATCCCTTGGTATCGAATACGGGAACCAGCGTGCGCGGTGCCTACGGACAGCACGTCACAGATGATGACGATGAAGAGACTGCCAGAAAGAAAATAGAAGCCGAAGTTCGACGGCACAGCGACCGATTCGAGTGGCATCCGGACGGCAGTTTGAGCGTAACCCACGTTGTGCCAGGTAGGTGGCCGGCAATTACAGATACACCCACAGAATTGAGCTGACATCAGTCGTCCGCAGCAATACGAATACATAAGCCCACTGAAGCTACGGTGTTCTTCGGAAACCTGACATCGGCATGGGGTCGCAGCCGACATCATGGAGCCACCCGGTCACCGTTCAGGGGAGATGACGGTTCATACCACCCGCCACCACAGTTCGGCGATGGAACAGCTATGGATGTTGAGGACCTAGATCTGTTACTGGATCTTGCTGAGAAAGGTGCGGTTGATATACACTGGGAACAGGGCGACTTGGTTCTGCTTGATGTAAGTTGTTTATAAAAGCTTTGCCTTTTTTCTTCCCCTTTTCAAGTATTATTATACTTCCGTCAGAAACTAACTATCAGATAGAACTATGCCGTTCAGCACTCCCGAAAGCCTTGGAAAGGCACTCGACAAGTTCTCGCAGCCCTGTGGGATGATGATGATGCAAGAGTTGACGATTTCCCCGAGGGCTTGAAGTTGCTAGATGGGTCTCCTCGAGTGCCGATTACTGTATCTGACTAGATTTGTATTTGTAGGGGAGACTATATTCTTTACACGACTTCAAGTTGCTGCATACTAGGTCGGAAACTGGCCCATTTGGGCACTTCATGTCACTCGCCTGTAGCCTGGATTTGCATATTTAAGCATAAGAACTAGAGTTCAAATTATCTAATTTAAAAAGCCGGAACGTTCAGATCAATATTTTTAACTAGATGTGGTCCTATATAGATGAATCAGAGTAAAATATTCTTTTGCTAATAAACAATCGCGGGGCATTAATGGCGCAATCGGCCCGTTTTCTGCAGTAGTTAGTTAGACTACGAGCAGTTCCAAGGTAGATATCTCTTGGATTCGGATGCCACGTCAGTGATCTGTTCTTCAGGATCCTGTATACCATCCCTGGTTAACGAGCACTCTCGTCAAGCATATACTAAGATGCCCCCCGCCTGGTATCAGGACTTCCTGGACAATGGGTTCGCAGTCATTCCTGGCGTTATCAGCCCGGCTAAAGCAGCAGAGTATCAGCAGGCTGCATTCGACTGGCTCAAGTCCTTTGATAACCCCGCGCTGGATCTTTCTGACCGAACGACCTGGACTTCGTCCAACCTACCGCATATCTCTCAAATCAATACTTTCAACCACTACGGCGTGGTGCATGAGCGCTTCATGTGGGAAATTCGACTGGAGGAACAGATAATTGAGACATTCTCACAGCTGTGGCATACGGACGAACTTCTCGTTTCTTTCGATGCACTCAACATTACCCTCCCCCGTCGCCCGGGCCACGTTCCCAGGGCGAGGTGGCCGCACGTCGACCAATCCCCCCTGCGTGAAGGCCTACAGTGCATTCAGGGTATCGTCAACCTGTCCAAGTCTGGTCGTGAAGATGGAGGGCTCACAGTCTATCCGGGTTCGCATAAGGTAGTCGAGCAATTTTTTGACCAGCATACGGACCGGACGCAGTGGGATCGCAAAGACTTTTACTCCTTTACTGAGGATCAAATGACTTGGTTCGAAGAAACACAGGGTTACAAACCTTACAAAGTTGTTGCCGAGCCTGGGGATCTGATCATTTGGGATTCCCGACTCATTCATTATGCAGCAGAGTCCACGGCGGGAAGTGAGACCATTAGGACAGTCACTTATGTCTCCTATGCCCCTGCCAAACTCGCTAGTCCCGAAAACCTGGTTAAGAAAAGGGAGGCCTTTGACCATTGGCTGGCTACCACTCATTGGCCTCATGACAATTTGGTTCTGAGGTCTAATTTGCCTTTACTTTCAGATGGGAGAATTGATACGCGGAGGAGCGAGCCACGAGATAAACCGGACTTCACAGATAAGCTACTGAAGCTTGCGGGGGTCAGGCCATACAACTAGCTAGTGAAAGATATATTTTCCCTTTTCGAATGTATACATATGAAACTAAATTATATTCGAGATCTTACCAGTCACAGATGAAACATAGATGTGAGGCGTATATTTTTGCTTTTAATTAAACTGCAAACACCGGAATATACAAAGAGATTAAGTTACTACAGTACCTAAGTATTGATAATATCTGCCTAGGTAGTAGAGAAGCAGAGAGTTGGATGGAGAGTGCACAGTAGACTTAAACTTCTTTGATGCCTCGCTTTTTGTTACTTTGTTCAAATCCAAGTCTTAAAGGCTACTCTTGTGTAAGAAAAGAGCTCGTGAGTTACTTCTCTGGTGCTTATCTACCGTCGCTTGGACTTCCGATGAAGAGTGGCGAAAGTTAGCCCTCATCGCAAGGGTCTCAGTCATTTCCATTACGATTGAGGTGGCTAGTTTAAGGTATGGAACGTTGGACTCAAATGGCATTGATGCGAAGAGTTATTGAGAGTGGTACATTTCGGCATTCATACACAGCTGTCACAAGAAATTCAAGGTCATGTTCATAGGTCCTGGTTCGTGAATCCTCAGATCCACGATGCTATGTTGTCAGTTGAAGATCTTTGCCAGGAGTGAGATGAATGCATAAAGAGCCAGGGATCTGTTTACCTAATGAGGGCATTCATACGAACCACTAGGAAGGCAGCCAGATTAAACGGCACAGAATATGTGAGATTAACCTGAATTATTAACAAGTTTGTCATAAGTTAAATACTTAGGTAGCTAAACTAAGCAACAAAGTACATGTCCGTTTCCTGAACCGTGGCGCACGTAATAACACGCGTATGCCTTTGCACATATTATTGCATTGGAACTGGCCTTTTTGCAATAACCACCATATCTCTAGAGAGGATATATGAAGAATTTATTTTCCAAGTCAGTCAAGTCAAGAAGGGATATATCAACCTTGACTTTGACCACCTGCCCGTTCTCATCAATCTGCTCAATGAACCCCTCTCCAGTATTTCCAGACGCGAGTTGCTCATCAACCCAGGCCTTTCGTCCCCTATTCCGCCTGACTAGGATGAATCTAATAATCAGAAGAAAAGCAGGTGTCAAAACAAAGCTGACCACGGTTTGAGCTATCCACGTGTTATAGTATCTGGGGCCTCCGGACTTCCATAACTGCGGCGAGATAATATTCGAGATGCCGTAGAACATCATGAACATTGCATTGCGTGTTAGCTTCTTAGTATAGCCGGCGGAGCTAGAGTATGCCCATGTGAGTGCAATGATATATGTCATTCCCCATGTGGTTGAGCCGAGAAGAAGGCAAGCCAGAAGCGCAATTGTCTTATCCCAGGATAATACGATCATGCCTATGCTCCCTGCAATTGCAGGTAAGACCCAAAACGTTGCCCACCAGGCACTGTAGCCCGGGTAGAATCGAAGTAGCACAGATGCTATTATAGCAATCAAGACTGAAAAGCCACCGGAGGCCACTGTGACAAGAGTAGATCCAAGCTCACCCACACCAAGATCAAGGTATAATAAGCTCATTTGAAAAGCAAGATTATTCGCCAGTTGGAGACAGAACGAGGCCAAGCCGAAAAGCCAGGTGATGGGATCGCGCAAAGTTTCGTAGAATTGCGATTTTTTGAACGTCTTTTGCTCGATTGAACTTTTTGTTGCTGCATGGACGCGTTGGATGACTTGGACTCTCTCCTTAATCGTCAAAAAGTTTGCTTTTGCTGGGTTGTCTGGATATACAAACCAAGACAGCAGAGAGAGAAACAAGGTTACACCGCCGGTGATGATCATGAAGAATTTCCATGGACTAACGCTGGACTTGGACCAGAGCAAGCCATATCCAATGAGACCGGATGGAATGCTGGATCCAACACATGAGATCCAGTAGATTGGCTGGATTTCCTGGAGCTCAGACGGCGTGAAGAACATGGACATGGTCATTTCCATGGCTGGTACCAAGGCCGACTCGAAAACACCGAGGAGGAAACGAATGGGGATGAGCCCTCCGTAACTTGTCGCCACGCAGTGCAGGAAAACGATAATCGCCCAGATAAATATTGAGGACGATACATATTTGCCTAGTGGGAGTCGCTGGATTAGCAGCTGCCCGGGTATTTGTCCGACAATGTACCCTGGTAGGTGGAATTAGCTATGCACAAGAGGAAAAAAGAGAAATGCCTGCGGATAATAACGAACCTGTGTAGAAGATCGTGTTCAGGTTATTATATATAGCATCCGTGAGGTGAGCATCGTCCATGATGCCCAGGATGGCAGCTTGGCCCAACGTCGCTTTGTCAATCTGGATGATTATGAAGAAGAAGACTAGTTAGCGAGATGCAATGTGTACGTTGGAAAGGACATGGTTTCCAGTCAGAGCAAACTTACGAAGAGCATCAAATCAATCGCAATCAGCAGCAGAATCAAACGCAGGTATATCTTCATGTTCAGCTTCTTGAGCTCCTGCGGTGTCGGCGGTTCGACTCCATCACCGTGCTCCTCCACAAACTTGGTTGTCTCGTCAGCCTTGCGGATTTCGACGGCTTGGGCGCCTTCAATTGAGTTGCGTGAAGACGGGTTATCTGTTGTAGAAATTTTCAGATCCTTCACATAGGACGACATGGTGCCGATTGTAAGGTCCGTCCGTGATTTGTGCACAGCCTAGACAATGTACGATGGTAGCAATTATAAATGAAGATATCATAACAGAATGAACACTATGAAGCGGCGGATTGGATTCATATTTATCATCATTCGCAGATATATTTTGCATTTTTTGATAGCTGCAGCCATTGTCGAGTATCAGCAGCGATCACGTCATTCATCTACATCTAGGTATTTACAATGGCCTTCTGGGATGGCATCATAAAAGTTCATTTATCAGCGTGGGCAGCTTTCTAAAGAGAGTACGATTCATTGCATATACCTAGTGTATATGCCCGGACCCCGGCGTCTTAGAGCCTAACTGGGCATAGAACGCGTTTGAAGACGCCGACAAGCCGGGCTTTTCGACATGCACGGAGTATGAGTCGGGGACTTCTTTCTTGAGGTAAAGTTTGCTAGAAAAAATATGGTAGTAAGAGACCTCGTTGACAAGATTGCGACAGCCATGTGTCGCTCAAAGAATGAAGTAACGACGAGTGCCACTCTCGACCGAACATTACCGGAATTAGAATTATCACCATGGTCTCGACACACGACTCCCCGTCTCCAAAGCTACGAGTGGCTGTTGCTGGCGGCGGTATTGCCGGCCTGAGCATCGCCATCGCCCTGAGAAGACACGCAGGCGTTGACATACAGATTTACGAGCGCACAAAGCAGTTCCGGGAAATTGGTGCCAGCATCAGTCTGGCGCCTAATGGACTTCGCACGCTGGAGAAGATCGGGGCCAGCAATGCACTCGACAGTGCGGTGTGCACAAGGCAGAAATCCGATAATCCCATGATATACAGACATTGGAAGACCGGGGAGGTCATTGCTACCGATGTCCACAAGACTGTCACGACGAAAAGACACTTTACAGCACGGTACCATCGGGCCCATTTACACAAAGCTCTTCTCGAGAACGTGCCCAGCGAGATTGTTCATCTGGGCAAGAAAATAGTCCACATAGAAGTGGAAGTGGAGGGTGGAGGGGTTACTCTATCATTCGAAGACGGCACGACTGCTGAGGCAGATATCTGCATTGGTGCAGATGGCCTACACTCTGTAAGAAGCTCAAGCACCATTAACAGCACCACTCGGCCATGGAACGCGATTGATGACTGACACTGGCTGACAGAACGTCCGCAAAGCCTTCGTGCCAACTCATACGCTCCGTGCGACCGGCTGGGTGGCTCTTCGTTCAACTCTAGAATCTTCGCTCCTCAACGGCATTGACTTCCCGGAAGATGCTGCTCATTGGGTACGGATGGCAATCATTTTCAGAAAGAGGGATTTGCTGACTGGTGCTTCACATCACATTACAGATCGGTCCGGATCGGACATTCTTCCATTCTCACCTAGGAAAGGGGCTCTTCACAGTTGTAGGCAGTCTTCATTTCGATCCGGCAGAACCAAATGAAGACATGAAATGGGACCATTCCTACAGCATGGATGCCTTCAAAAGGCTCTACGAAGTGCGTAAAGGACAAACACTCGGGAGATAGACAAGCGACTGACTGACAGCTTCCTAGGGCTGGCATCCCGCGGTCCGCTCCTTGATCGATGCGACACCGACCACTCGACTGTATCCCAACATGGCCGGCAGCCCTCTAGATACTTGGGTCTTTGCCAATCGCGTCACGCTCGCCGGCGATGCAGCGCACACGCACGGCGGCGCGTTCGCCGCCGGAGGATCACTAGCTATCGACGACGCATATGCCTTGTCATTGGCTTTGGAACACGTCTGGCCTGCAGCGTCGGCGCATCTGCGGAAACCAACGGACGAAGAACTCGCCGCAGTGTTCCGTCTATACGAGGCGACGCGAAAACCACACATCAACAAGATCATGGCTGCGGCGAGCCAGCAGGTCATTGGGAACAAAGCCAAATCGGCGCCGGACGAGACACAGACAGAGAAGTTCTTGAGACAGCGGGTGGACAGCCGGCCAGACCCTTCGTGGATCAGCGAACACGATGTCGAGAAGGCATTCCAGACTGCTGTTCGCGAGATGGAGACTGCGCGGTCTTGGTGCGTGATATTGTAGATATGCAAACATGGAACCTGCATAACCAAAAAGTACATACATATCTACGCGTAATCAGTTCATGGTTCTTAGTAATTATATAAAAATGATCAGAGTTCTGTTGCTCGTTTAAAAAAGTAAAAAAAAAAAAAAAAAAAAAAAATCAGAGTGTGCCCAGCGGTGGCAGTGGAGAGAATTACAGCAGCCTATTCGTACAACCTTGCCAAAATTCATAATGTATTAAAATATGATAATGCTACAGAAAACAAAACAATGCCTACATAGCTCACTTATAGTAGGAGCTAATCTATTTACAGATTAATCTATATATATATAGAACTATATAACCTAATTTTATTTCTATATAAAGTCCTTTAACAATTTTAAAATTTATTAACATCATAAATACTCTCATAGATTTTTAACATATTAAGATGTCTTGATTTATAAGCTTATCAAAGCTTAATCTAACTTCTTTAAATCTATTAACTTATCTTCCCTCTTTATAATCTATTAAAAATTCTCCTCTACTAAACAGAGTAAGCAATACAATATAACTATTTTATTTTAATTAAATTATATTTAACTTATTAACTTAAAATTAGATTTTAATTTAATCAATCAATTTAAAATGTTAAAAATTACTAGTTATTAAATAATAAATAAGACAATAGATAATTCTTATAGTCATATTCTATCTAATTAATAAGATTATTCTTAAGTAATTTTTTTTTAAAAGCTAATATATAAATAAAATCCTTTTCTTACTCGCGCTATTTATCAAAGAAATAGATATTTATTCTAAATAATTAAATCAAAAAAAAAGTTCTAAGATACAAGAATTTTAGAATCCTTTTTATAATAACACCTTCTCAGGTAATCTTTTTTAAAAGCTAATATATAAACAGAACCCTTTTCTCACTCATCTTATCTATTAAAGAAGTAGACATCTATTCTAGATAGATTAAAAAAAAGGTTCTAAGATATAAGAATTTTAGAACTCTTTTTATAATAACATTCTAGATAATAGAGAGACTAATAATTAAAAGCTGTAATAGTAAAATAAACTCTAATAATATAGGATCTAAGAACCCTATTAACAATCTTTTTAGATTACTAAAAAATAATCTTAAAATTTTAAATTTATCCTTAGACAGTAAATTATCTAATCTATTATTAAGTAATAAGTTAGATAATAAGATAAATTCTAAGAAGAAGCCTATAAAAAAGATAATAATAGCCTAGAAAGATATTATTTATAAATTTTTATTACTTTTAGATTTAACTTTCTACTAATATAAAGAATAGTAAAAAAAATTCTTAAGAATTTAAATAAAAATATTTTAGTTCTATAATAATATCTTAAATTTATATCTAATAAAGAGTAGAAAATCTAATTATAAAGTCTAAACTTTTTTTTTTATTAAGAAAAATTATAGAATTGTTGGTTTTTTAAGTAAAAAAAGTAATATTATAGTTTTAGTATTAAATAGGTTCTTTTAATTATATATACTAAAATAAAAGATTTTAATAAGAAATACATTGATAAAGATGGCTAGAATAATATTTATTATTACACATATTTTATGTATTAAATCCTATAAAGGAATCTTAATTATATAGATAGACTTTTTAGATTTTATTTTATAGATCCTAACAAGGCTAAATACTATCTTTGGACTACTATAAAATATATCTAATATAAGTTTATATTATCTTAGTAACATAAGCCCTTAGATAACTATGCATTACTATATAAGGAAACTCGTAAGAGGAAGGGTCATTTTATCAAGTCTATTTCTTATAAATTAAAAAAGTAGTCTAAAAAGAGTTTTATATAAAACCTTATTTTAAATAATCTTGTTTTTAATCTCTTTAATTTAAATATTATCCCTATTAATAATATAAGCTCTTTTTTAGAGCTTAGTATAAATATTAGCTCTAATAATAATAAAATTAATTTACTTTCTATAAATATTAAAGAAATTATAACTCTAATCAATATCACTTTAATTAATTCTTAAAAGAAAATAATCTAATCTTATATCTAAAAGAAGTATCTAATAAAACAGTCTAAAGAATTTAATCTTAGTAACTTATATTAGTATTTAATATTTACTTAGACAGCTCTATATTATATAAAACTAGATAGCAGAGATAAAACCTAGATTTTACTATCTTCTAAAACCAAGAATAATAATGCTGATTAGTTAAATAATAAATCTACTAAATTAAATCTAAGTAAAGCTATATAATATAATATAATAATAAATGCTCTAATTTTTAAACTTATAAATCTAAATTTTAAAAAGAACTATAGTAAAACTATTTATATCTTTAATTCTTTTAACTATCTAGAATTTAAGAATATAGTTATAGAGTAAAAAGACTATAAAAAGAAAAATATTTCTCTAAATTATCTTCTTAATATTTTAAAATAATCTCTTACTAATTACTAGAAAAAGCTTATATAATTAAATAATTCTAATTTCTAGCCTCTTAATTTCAATAAAGCATATAAAACCCTCTATCTTATAACAGCTAAGAAAAATAATAATATCTTTATTTAAACTTATTATAAATATATGCATTTTAATCTAAATTTAGAGATTTAGTAAGTACTTAATATAGCTCATTTAATTAAGATAATAAAGAAGACTTATCCTAATAAGTCTCCATTATTCTATGATAAGTTCCTTAGTAATATTATAGAATTTAGAAAGACTTTTCAAGTAATAGTCTTTATATTAGAGATAAGCCTTATATTTATTAAAAAAGGGTTCTAGAACTTTTTTTTAGTCCCCCCTTATAATAATTTTATAAATTTTAAAACTCTTTTCTAAGTGATTCTCTTTAATTTCTTATTAGCTATTATATCGATTAAAAGTTCAGTAAACTATGTGAGAATCTCTAAAAAAGATAAACCTAGATAAATATAGCCCTAAATCAATCTATTAACCATTCCTCCTTATTATTCCCTCTATTATTCTCATCCAGTAGATCAGTAAGATACACACTATCACAAAGCATCTCCAGGTGCATATATTATATGAAAACCCTAAAGCTATTAAGACTAGGACTTTTAAAAATGCAAAGCTTATTAAAGATCCATTAACTCCTTCCCATAAGCTTTTTAATGGTTCATTTTCTTAATCAAACCATATTATTATAACAAGTTATAACACATTCCAGAGCCACCATAGTCCTTCAGCCTACAAGAAATAGGAAAACCAGGAGAAAGCACATTATAAGAAAAAAAATAACTCATTTATTACAAGGCTATAGCTAGGCAATTTTAATAAGCTTTTTTATTATATTATCCTTAACAAGACTCATATATTATACAACACCAATAGCAGCTTATCTACAGCTATCTAATAGCTTAAAGCTAGTTTTTATCTTCTCTTATTAGCTATTATTTTCTATAATAATATCCTAGACTTCCAGGACTATATATTTCTTATTATATCTAAATAATCTAATACAATTTAGAAGGATACATAAATTTTATAGAGCCTTAATATTATAAATGCTATTAATCCTTTCTTATTACCTAAAGAGTATCTAGTAAGTTTTTTAAGATTTATAATATATATACTTAAAAAATATATTTTTATAGATAATATCACTATCTAGGTTATAAGTATTTATCTAAAAGATATTCTAAAATATCTAAATATCAGACAAATCCTTTCTTCATCTATCTAAATTAGATCTGATTACTTGATTATTAACTCCCATATTCCCTTATTCTAGACACATATAATCTATATTAAGTTCTCATATAATAAGAAGGCAATGTATAATTAAGCAGTTATTTCTTATTATAAAAACTTAATAATAAAAAAGAATAGCAAAGTTATAATAAATATAATAAAATACCAGATACTAATACTGCTAACTTCCTAGTTTAATATAAAATTTGCTAAAGAGCTTCTTATAATAAGAATATTTAAAAATATTCTATATTTATTTTATCTTAAAATTATATATTAAAATCTTACTTAGGTGGTTTATTCTAAAAAATCCCCTATATTTTTTTTAAAATGGTTCTAGAGAACTTATTGCTTAGAAAAAGTTATTTAATTATTAATCAATATACTTAGAACTCTTTTGCGAGGCTCTCTAAAAATAAGGGCTATATTATCTATTATTATATATAATTCTCTTATTTATTAGGAGAAATAAATTATTTAGTGTTTTTTTTTAGCTATTTAGGTATATATTGTAGTTATTTTAAAAGAGTGCGGTATTAATATAAGAATATTCTATTTTAAACTTGATTAGTTATAGCATTAGATATTAATTATAGAATTTATTATTATAGATAAATACTTTATTTTAATTATGTCCTTAGCTATCAATATCTTAGGATTGAACTTGTACCCTTAATATAATATTATATACTTTTTTAACTTACTTTTTACTAAATTTATTATAAATTAAGCTATTGGGCGCTTTTAATACTTTAGTTAGAATTATATGATTATTATCTATATTTACTTAATAACTAATAGTTAGAATAGTATTTAGTAGTCTAAATCTAATAAGAAGACAGTTATAAATATACTCTATAACTTAAATCTAGCAATATTTAAATTTATAGTTAAAAGCTCTAATGAAATTTCCATCAGTAACCTTATTGTATAAAATGGCGCTCTTTATTAGCTAGGACCTGGTAAAACTCCCTTATCTTCTAATAATACTAATAATAAAGATATTATTACTGCTATTCAGAAATTATTTATTAAGAAGATAGGTATAATAAATATCTCTAAAACTTAAACTATGCTTTAGTGTTTCCTATTTTTTATTTATATCATTTAATTTATTATTTAGTTTATTACTTAATTTAACTAGAATAAATATCTTTTAATATATTATAACTTTCTCTAAATAAAGAGTAATAATTTTTATATTCTTAATAAGTATCTTTATGAGGGATATTAAGAAATAGGGTTTATATATTTGAAATTTTTTTTCTAGTTATCCTGTTATTAATATATACTCTTACATCTAGTAATAAATTTAATAACTATAAGCTTTTAATTATAAGATATTATAGTATCTATAAGAGAATTTATATAATTATTATAATAAATAATAAAGATTGTCTATATATAATTAAGTAGTTAACTTATTATAATAATTATATATAATTATCTAATTAATACTAAGCTATCTATAGCTAAATAAGATAATCTAATTATATTTCTAATTAACTTAATATCTTTTTATTAATTTTTTCCTTTATAATCCTATATATTCTAACATTATATTAGATTGTCTAGAGATTAATCTTCTTCCTTATAAAAAATAAATTATTAATCTATATAAAGATAGCCACTCTATAAAATCAATATCAGAATTTCTTACAAGCTACTATAAGATCTCTATTAAGAATTGCACTCTTCATTACTAATTATAAGAATAAGGCATTCATTATTTAGAACATACATATAAAGATTCTTCTTACTTATACATCTAGATTGCTATTTTATTCTTCCAGATATATTTAACAGATAAGGAAATAACTATTACATTAAAGAACAAAGACTTCCAGGTAAATCAACAGATAATATAGCGAATTCATCTCAGAATAAGCATACATCATTCATTCAGTGCACACACATATGCAGAAATAGATAATAAACTACACCTTATTGTATAAACTGAACTTAATAATAAAAGTATTAATAGGTTCAGCCATAAAATACTATATATATATTTTTACTCTAAGATACATATCATCTTTAGATATTATTTCTTTAAGCTCTTTAACACCTTATGATTAACTTAATATATAGGGATCATCTATTTTCTTTTATCAAAAAGATTAACCCTATCAGTATTTAGAAAAGATAAAATAACCTATAATAAGTTCATTAGACATTTATTATACCAGGTCTAAACTATATTTAGTTAATTGATAGCTATAATAAATTATAATTATAAGATATTAAGATCTACACTATAATCAATACTTATTTATATTATATTATTTAGATATATATTAGTATTAGTAATCGCATGGCTATTAATATTTTTTACTAATTCCTTAATATAATTAAAAATATAGATATTTAATTTATAAAGATTAGATTAGATTAAGAGATAGAGATTTTACTCCTTATAAATACACATTTTACCTTATGAAAGCAATAAGACTATAATCTTTTCTTTAATAACTATTATTAGTTTAGAACAAGTATATCAAATCAGTATATTAAAAGTTAGTAAAGATAGCTATCAAAAGATCTTTTATTTTTATAGCAGGTAAATAATTAGATTTTTAGATTATATAATAGCACTAATACTTACTTAAAATAAGAATTTTTTACTAAAATCTAGGAATAAGGCTTATATATTAAAAGCTAGATTATAGATTATATTATACTTCTTGCTATTTATATTCCTATATTTAGATAGGAAGTTTATTATTTTATCTAAAAGTAGAATATTTATAAGATACATTTGTAGAAAAATTAAGAATATCTACTAATAGGAAAGCCTTATATAATATATTATTATTATCTACATACTATAGATAATTTTAGAATAATATTAAATCTAAACTTTTTAAAGAAATTATAGCAAGAAATAAATAATTAAAGTATAATAATTTTTAAAGATTATTTAATATAAGCTAATCTTAATTATAGATATTAATAAATATTTACTAGTTAAGATTATTAATCTCTATAATTTAATATTATAAAGTAATAGATACTTTTTAAATATATTATAAAAAGACTGCCTATTAAATGATAGTTATATATATTATTAAGTATATTAATAATTATAATAAGGCTTATAAGATTACTTTAATATATAGAAGAAACCTGAGCTAGTAGAATTATTAAGACTAATAAATACTTAAAAGTAGTATAGTAAGGAGTTTAAGACTTACTATTAGACTATAAAAGAATATTTTAATATTATAAGCTATATAATATTTATTTAAGATAAAATAGAGAAGGATTAGTTATAGTAATTAAATAAAAAGTGTCTTATAGTATTAATAAATATATAGATATAAGAAAGATTTCTAATTAAGAAAAGTCTAATCAATAAAGATAAATTTTCTTATTTAGTTATCTTCTTATAATATGTCTGAAAGGCTAGTATATTTAATAGTAAATTCTTACTAATATTAATAAAAGATTTTATATAATTAAGATAATTATCTTATATATCTAAATCCTTACTTTTCCTATTATCTTTTAGAATATTAAATAATTGCTTCTTGTTTAGTTAATTAAATAATATAATATTTAATTTAAGTAATTTAGTTTAGCTAATATTGTTAAAGAGATTATTAAGATTATTATTAAAAATATCTATATAATTATCATCATCAAATTCTTTAGAAGTATCTTAAGTGTCGTAAAATATATTAATATTAATAGTTAAAGACTCAAGTTTAATCTTTATATTATTATTATTATTATTATTATTATTATTATTATTATAGAATTCCTTAACTTTTATTTCTAGAGTATAAATTGCTTTTTCTTTAATAGCTTTTATAGGGAATAGAAATAATATATTATCTATATTATCCTTATTTATTTTAATACTAATATATAAATAAATTATAAATTAATAATTCTTATTCTTTTTTTTTTTTATCACTTAAAAGTACTTCATCAAAATAGATTTTAGATTTATTATAGCCTATATATTACTAGACAGAATAGTAAGAGATTCCTGATTTTTTTAGAATTACCTAGTTATTATAACTTCTTATATATCTAATATCTTATAGATATAAGACTATATATCAAAGTTCTTTATAAGTATCTTAATAAATTTATCTTTTATTTTAAAACAAGTATTAATACTTAGATCAACTAAAATAGATATTATATAAGCCTAGTTATAAAAGATTATCTACTTCTCCTCTTTAAGTACTTCCTAATATAGCTAGATCATTATAAAAAGTATATAAGAGGCTAGAGTAAAAGCAGCTTAATTACTGTATATAGGACTACTAGTATTAAATATAAATATATTTTACTATATTCTAAAAATAGCCTCTTAATAATTATGATAAACAGCTTGCTAATATTTTAATAATAATTAATAAAACACTTAAAGGGTATATGATCTAGATCTAAATAGATTACTTCTTAGAGAAAAATCTCCTAAGAGATTAATTATAGAAAGTAGCAGTGCATTTATTTTAAAAATTAGATTTATCTAGCCGCAGAAACTATAAGCTAGATATTTTATATATATTATATATTTATAGCCTAGATTTTTAATATAGAAAGCAGTCTATAATATTATTTAAAATAATTATAAATATAAAATAAGAAAGCAAATTAATAAGTTAAATATATAAGAATTTTATATTTAATAATATATACTAAACTTTTATTAGTAAAATAGACTATTAGATAAGAAAGTAGTCTATTTTATTATAATATTTTACTTATTATTAGCTAAGAACTAAGTTAATTAGAAATAATTAGTTAAATATTTAATTAATTAATCTCTATTAATTAGCTTATTAATTACTTATAATAATAAATTATCTTAATAAAATTTCTTCTGAATAGTTATTCTTAATTAAATAAATATAATATTTTTATATAAGAAATAAAAAAGAATTCCTTATATTATATATAAGAGAAGTAAAAAAGTAAAAAAGAGTTCTAGAACCCTTTTTACTTTTCTTTATCAAGACTTTAAGTTTACTTGTTTGTTAATAAATATTTCTATATTATTAGTATAATCATTACAGAAGGTTTTAATTAATTCGCATTTATGCTATCATATAACCTTTATATGTTGTAGAATTTAGACTATAGTTCATGGTAAAATGTAAGTTATGTATAAAATTTATTTTGGCAAGGTTGTACGAATAGGCTGCCGTAGAGAATTGCGCAATAGGCGCTAGAGTTTCTGTTTCTGTCGTCCTGCGAACGGCCGTAACTCGGAACTCTGCACTCAAGCTGCTCATTCACCTAGGTACACCATCATTCAGACGGACTGCTTCTTCGCTTTTGTCCTCCCGTCAATATTTACGCACCATGGGTTCGCCCCGGTCCAACTCCGACGTTGTGACCGAAAAGGCTGCACCGCTCGCCTGCACCGAATGCCGCAGGAAACATGCCAAGTGCGATGCCAACATGCCAGTATGCTTGCGCTGCATGTCAGCAGGCGTTCAATGCCACTATCTGCCCTCGCGGCGTGGGCTGAAGCGGCGCGCGGCGAGCTACAGCCAGCACATGCGCCCAAATCCTTCTCCTCCAGGTCCCCAGCAAGTGCAGTGTTATGGTCCCGGGTTCGTCGCATCCGGCGAAAGCTCAGTCCAGACCCATCTGGACGTCTTCCCCGATCAAGCGCCTGTTGCTACAGTCAGTCTCGAAGAGCCGCAGCAGTACTACCCAGTCGAGGACGACGAGGCCTTGATCAATCTGTTCTACGCCAACTTCCATGCCGCTCATCCAATCCTAGTGCCTCGTACACTGTACACGACACAAGCCTACCCAGCATATCTGAAACTAGTTGTTCACTTTCTAGGCAGTCATTTCTCTACAGCAACTTCAAGCGATACGCTGCGCAGCGTAACAGCATCTGCGCTTGCAGAGGCTGGGGGTAGGAATCACAGCTTCCACCTCGTGCAAGCGCTTCTGCTTTTCTCAATAGCGCTGCACGCTCGCAACGAGATTCCAGAATGCGTGTCGATGCTCGCCCAGGCCGTGTCGTTGGCGTTAGAGCTGGGCATGCATCGGAAGAGTTTCTCCGAAGACTACGGTAGACAATCTGCCATCCAGGAGGAGAGTCTCCGAAGGACGTGGTGGGAGCTCTACGTGACCGACGGGTTCATGGCTGCATTACAGCGCAAGTCTAGCTTCGACTGCCACACCTCAAGCCCCGACGTGCCACTGCCCTGTGAAGAGTCTCTGTACGTAGAAGGGTCGTTTTTCAGAGAGCCGCCGTCACTGGCCGAGTTCGACGCCAGGATGTATGCCCCCGAAGAGACCCATTACTCCTCATTCTGCTATCGGATCGAAGCCGTCAGGGTCCTGGCCCGCGTTCTGTCGATTGCATGGACGCACGATGTGCACGAGGATCAGGTCCGTGCTATTGACAACGCGCTTGCAGCCTGGCCACACCACTTGGATGTGGCCAAGACAGATGCCGCCACAACTTACGGTGGCGTGGACGAGATGCTCTTCCAGGCTCATATGCTCATCCACTATAGCACCATTTACCTGCATTTCCCGCGCAGTGATCTTGTGGCAACACTGCCCGGCGCGTCCAATATCATCCGTCAGCAACACCTCCTGCCCGTGTCCACACGCAACATGCATGGAATCAAGGCTCTAGAGGCCTCCAAACAGCTGGCAAATCTGGCCGCCATTCCCACTCCAATGCAGAAGCACTCGCCGTTCTTCATTTGCGGCATTGTCTTTTGTGTCCTTGTACAGCTATCTGCATGCTCGCTTCCTGAACTATACAACTCCCAAGACCGGTACCGCGACAGCATCTCTCTAATCACAGGTGTCCTCAGGACCCTCAGTCCCACATGGGCACTGGCACAGGTAACTTTGCGGAAGATCAAGAACATTGCCTTGGAGACATTATTTCTTCAAGACAAGCCTGTCACCACCACCTCCCCTCACGACAGCGGTGTTGATCTTAGTGCTTCCATAACCGACCTGCAAATATCCGACCTTCTATGGATCGATGCGCTGCATTAAGAGATTGTTCTAAGAATAACTGCCTTTTTTTGCATGTTCTTCTACCTCATGATGAATTTGTTTTTTCTCTGTTGTAATGCACGTAACGCAATCCAATCGAACTATTTTAAACGGCGAAGTAATAATCCTAGTTAGTTGATGATTAAGCATCAAGTATTAGAACTAACTACATGTCAAGAGGTGGCTATCTCTCAATCCGGCTCTTTTTCGTTAGCTTGTGGGTGCCAGCGAAAGTCCCCCTGGTTTTGGTGTCTCTTTTTATAAACCAGACCTCAAACACTGCAGTGAACTCCGCTTTGTATGTATTAGTTGATAGGTTCGCGCTACTATCACGCATTTTTGTTTCTCTCTCCTTTTTAAAGAAAATTCTCGGCTCCGAGACGTTCAACAACATTTACTGGCGCTTACTCACACTCCGGTTTATTCCTGGGTAGAAGCTTAGCAACAGTGATGAACCCTGTAGATTCACAGCTTCCATGTAACTTAACCACAGCGTTGACTCCACCAGTCAATCTCAATTTGCTAGTGAGCTTAGATAGGTATACATATAGATAGATAGGAGTCTACGGTGTTCTGGTGGAGTCTGTCCGGGGTCTTAAGCGGGCTCCGGCTCTTGAGCGTCACGTATGCTGTAGCAGTACGCGTAGGCAGGCCCTGGTATGATATCGAATAGATACGATATGATGCTACAGACGGACAGCTCTATGGACGGCATATCACTGCAGCCAACCTTTATATACTAGTTCTAATACCTGCTATGTACCTAGGTAATGATTGTTCCGAGCTTAGATACCAGAGATATACCATGGCGCAACTATCAAGCTCGCAAGATGAATTCCACATCGCCATTGTTGGCGCAGGCATAGGCGGTCTCACCGCTGGTATCGCTCTGACGCGACTGTTGCCATCCACCGTAAGGGTCAGCATTTTCGAACAAGCTCGGGAACTGAGGGAGATCGGTGCCAGCATTGGAATTGGCCCTAATGGTCTGCGCTCACTTGAAAAACTCGGCGTCGATGCCAGCGCAATTGACGAGGTCTCTTTCCGCCAGCCTGATAATAGGCCTTTTGTCTATCTCCACTGGCAGACCGGCGAAGTGCTAAAGCAGACTGTCCACCACAATGTCTCGGACCGTCGACATGCGATGGCCCGTTTCCACAGAGCTCACCTCCAAAGACTATTGCTAGAGAAACTTCCCAAAGGCGTCAAGTTGCACCTGAGCAAGCGGGTCAAGGCAGTGCAGGTCAAACCGGAGCAAAACGGGCAGGGGGGTGTGATTCTCACTTTTGAGGACCGCACCACCATTAACGCAGACCTACTGATCGGGGCTGACGGTATCCATTCTTCGGTCAGGAAGACGTTTGTTCCAGACCACACGCTGCGGTGGACAGGAGGTGTTACTCTCCGATCGACGTTTGATGCCTCGCTTGTAGAAGGCATTGAGGGCCTACCGCAAAATGCCGTTTTCTACTTTGGTCGCGAAAGAAGTTTGTTTGCATCAAGATTAGGTGTGTTTTCTCTTTTTTGCTCTGTGCTTTTTGCTCGCAAAGCTTCTCGCAGATGAAAGCTCACGTGTCCAAATAGGGAAGGGCCAGTATACCGTTGTCGGCTCATATCAATCCAACGTTGATGATCCGGAGGATCCTTACTATAACGCGAAATGGAATAGTGAGGGGGATCTAGAGACATTGAGAAGCTACTACAAGGTACTTCACTTTCCGGGAAAAAAAACCCCCCCTTATTTCTGACTAACCTTACCTCCTAGGGCTGGCATCCGGTCGCACAGGCTCTCGTAAATGTGGTGCCCTACACACGAATTTTTCCTAACGAGATGGGTGTGCCGTTGAAATCAATGACTTTCCATGGCCGGGTTGTCCTGATTGGAGACGCCGGGCACACTCACGGTGGTGCGTTTGCAGCAGGCGGTGCACTGGCAATCAACGATGCTCATGCGCTTGCTTTGGCGTTAACTCACGTCTGGCGAGCTGAGAATCAATCACGGCTAAGTGCTCATCAGTTAGCACAGGGACTGGATCTCTTTGATAAAACCAGACGGCCACATGTCAACAGACTAATTGAATTAGTACAGAGGATCACGGAGCCTCCGTTGGACGCACCGAAGCCCGCAGAAACTGCAGAGGAGAGCGATGAAGACTTTAGGAAGATGATATCAAGTATGGGGGATGAGAATTGGATTGCAGAGCATGACGTAGAGGCTGCTTTCCAAGCTGTCTTGAGAGATGGTGATTCTGCGAAGCTCTAAGCTTAAATACAAGCCACTAGTCGTTTTTAAGCACTATTTACGAGAACTTCATCCAACTAGAAATCTTTCAAAAAAGGGTCTCAGTTACCCACTCACACCTAAAAGTAACCCTGTAAATGTGACAAGAACAAGGTTACTCTCTATCGCCCAACCGGTGAAATTGATTGCCAGACTATGCTAGTTGACCTACATGCTAAAAGCTTGACAGTCATTCCACAAAAAGCATTCCATCCACAATCCCTGTTTATCATTTATAAATGCTTGTGAAACCAATATTTATTTCACACTCTTAGCAGCTTAGGTGCGTCTGTCGATAACTATACCCAGCTACCAGGGCCATCACATGAAATGCTGCACCAAGAAGGGCGAATGTATGAAAAAGCTGGTGCGAATGGCCGAGAATATCAAAAGAACCCGGACTCAGCCTTTCCGGCACTCGTGTAACAAACAAACCAACTCCGACCAGAAGAGAAAACGCTTCGGCAAAATACCAGTCAGCCCCGATTTCCCAACTTGCGCGAGCCCATCCTAATAGATAAACACTGTGGAAGATAGGAACCATAGCTGAGAGTGCAAGCAGAGAGAAAACACCGCCACGCAGACTTCGCATTTTTGTTCCGCCACCGCCTGTATCGAAAAGTGTAACAGCGCTCGCAAGGGCCGAGAGCAGATTGAGTCCCCAGTATGCCCGTTGGACGGTTGGCCTGCAGTAGAATGCATAGTAGGTCATCGACGTTCCGGCACCAAAGGCGAGAACGCAGATTCCCAAAATATCCATTTTGCCCCAGAAATGATGGATGTTGTAGGAGTGGCTTCTGAGGGTGTGAAATGTGGTGCTTAGAGAGAAGCAAACCACGGCAGCGCTCATGAAGGTACCAAAAGCAAACATGTCACCATCCTTCAGATCCATGTTCACAAATATGAAAGTAGACTTGTATAGAGCGGAAGCAGTAACAATGAATGCCACAGACCCCAAGAGATGAGTCCATATATTCATCGTCTCCATATGCCAGCAGCGCCATAGACGAAAGGATCGCCCATAGGAATATGTTGGCATAGGATAGCCGTTGACGATATAATCATTGTCACGCAGCCAGCCAGGGATATCATCTTTAGTCCCTGTCGCTGGCCAGTACTTTTGACTGCCTTTCTTGTTCGATTTGCTAGCAAAATTTTCTCCAGACAACTTCGAGGCCAACTGTAGTTTTTTACCCATTTTCAGTTTCGTGTCACTGTTAAGTAGAGTATAACTTCACGCTCGCCAAAAGTATCAATAAAATTGACGTAAACTATCGAGCATATATTTCATTACTAGGAGGATAGGAAAGAGCGAGCGTCTATTCACCGGAGATACCTAGTTACCTAGGAGGTATTGTCATGGCTTTCGGCTGGCCTGCTGATTATATATGTTTCTTGCATAATCAGCACCACGGAAGAAATGTGGTCCATTCAACTAAATCGACAACATATCATTGTATTTTAATCATATATTCTCCGGGTCTAGTCTGTATCTAGCCATAGCTAGTGGGTGGACTATCGTACGGACTACCTAGGTACAGCGTCCGGCTCCTTTATGGCCCCCATAAAGCTCGATATTTAATCTCCATCTTCGGTCATCCACCTTTCCCCTCAATTCTGACTAAACGGCATTTCTCGCTCGGTCATGAACCATCACATCTGCCCTGGCAGCCGGATGTAGCCGTTTAGAGCCCTAACGGGCAAGACGCAATGAACATCATTCAGTCGTCTCAGTATGAAGTGGACAGCATTAGGAAAAAGGTTTTGGTTGTAGTTGCGGGCCCATTTTGGTCAAGGCGGGTGGCGCCGGCCCGAGCATGTGGCATGTGCCCACATAGAAAAAGACGGCGCTAGTCCGCTTTAGGGAATGCCAATCCCACATAGGGCTTCGCGACGGTTAAGCCCTATAAGCGCTTCCAAATGCCCTGTGCAAGGAGGTGCTGATGGGAGAGCAAAGCGCTAGACAATCTGCATAGTTAGGGACTGTGCTGGGCAAGACTAGACACCACTAGTTTTTAATCATAGGGGGCTCTAGGGTGCTAATCGGTGGCATGTGTGTCTGACATTAAGCTTTGATGGATGATAATAACGTTAGTGTGATTATAATCCTCAAAACAATACTCCCGGGCGGAAAGGAGCGGATGGGTGGATTCAATTAAGATTAATACTTTGTAGTTAGCTTTGCAGTTAGTAACATTAGGAGTTCAAAACTTTATCGATGCTGCGAGCACTTTGCGCTGAAATTGCAGGCCGGTTTTGTCTCTTGCATGCTCAATGAACTGCTTTCGATGATACAGCAATAATGGACAACCAATTCTCGTCATTCTACAAGAGTTCGGCCAGCAATCTACACATCTCATGGCTCGTTCTTCCATCATTGCTTGTCGTCTATGTCCTCGCCAACATAGTTTACAGACTGTATTTCCACCCCCTGGCACGCTTCCCCGGTCCCAAACTCGCCGCCATAACGCATCTGTATGAGTTCTATTTCAATATCATTCAAGATGGAATGTTCATTTGGGAAATTGAGCGCATGCATGAAGTATACGGTACTTTCTTTGCCTGGTCTGCACATACAGTAACTAGAAGCGCCAACTAAAGGAAAAACAAACAGGCCCAATCGTCAGAATTACGCCGTACGAACTGCACGTCAAGGACCCTCAATTCTACGACGACATATATGCTGCCTCGACACGGAAGACAGAGAAATATTTGAATTTTGTATCGCACTTCGGCACTCCATTGAGCATGATCACAACGATTGGCCACGACCATCACCGCATCAGACGAGCGCCGTTGAATAGTTTCTTCTCCAAAAGGTCCGTGGTACGCCTCGAACCAGTGATACAAGAGAACATCGACAAGCTTTGCAAGCGCTTCGACGACGACTGTGCTGCTCAAAACGTGGTCCGACTAGATGTAGCGTTCATCGCTTTAACGACCGATATAATCACGCGTTACTCGTACGGGAAAAGTTATAACTACCTTAATGAGCCGGACTATAAACTTGAATGGAAAGACGCAGTACTTGAAGCTTCAGCGAATGGAGCTGCAATGCGCCATTTCCCCTTCATGCTAGCTCTGTCGAAGAATATGCCTCGGTCGTTATTGAGAAAGCTGAACTCTCGCATTGCTATATTGCTGGAAATTCAGGATATGGTCAGGAGTCAGTCGTTGGAGTCGTTGAACAATTCTAATAAGGGTACCAACACGGGGGAAAATGGCCAGAAAAAGTCCATTTTTGACGCACTTAATGACCCGGAATTGCTTGCACCCGAGGAGCGTACAATCGATAGACTACAAGACGAGGGACAAATTCTATTAGGCGCCGGCAGCGAGACGACTGCAAAATCATTGACAGTTATTGCACTGCATCTGTTACGAGATCCGAGCGTCCTTGAAAGGTTGAGAGGCGAGTTGAAAACCGTCATGCCAACAACAACGAGTACAGCCTCGTGGACAGAATTAGAGAAGTTGCCCTTTCTCGTTCGTCATCCAATCGCTCCTTCAAAATTTTTATTCGAGCTAATGAGAAAGCAGACAGCCGTAATCAAAGAAGGCCTCCGCCTTAGTTACGGTGTTACTACTCGTCTTCCACGTGTCTCTCCTACGGAAGCCTTGCAATATAAAGATTGGATTATCCCGCCTGGGGTATGTTTCTCCTTTTCTTTTATGCTTTCATTCCTAGATTCCTGATGCTAACTCAAATATTACCTCGACAGACCCCCGTCAGCGAGTCATCATACTTTGTGCACATGGACCCTTCGATCTTCCCATCTCCAGAATCGTTCGACCCATCTCGCTGGCTCATCGCGGCAGCAAATGGTGAGAGGCTTGATAAATTCATTGTCTCATTCACAAAGGGGAGTAGACAATGTTTAGGAATTAAGTGAGGTTCCCCCACCAACTCCCAAGAACTATTTGATTCCTCATCTCTTGTCCTACGAATATAGATACTAATAACTGCGCTCGGTGCACCAGTCTAGCATATGCCGAACTCTACCTCACAGTAGCACATATTTTCAGAAGATACGACTTCCATTTATATGATACGAACGTTGATGACGTAAAGTTGGTAAGGGATCGCTTTTTTGGAGCGCCAAAGGATGGGTCGAAGGGTGTGAGAGTTTATGTTGAGGGATTGGTTAAAGAGTGAGTCCAATCTCATTTATGAATGCTTCATGCTCCCGTATTCGTTTTATACACGTGAACTGGATGGCCGTAGCTATCACAGTTGGCCTGGAAGAAAGTATATACCTAGATATATATATGTAAGTTGATTGAAGGGTTAGGTGCATGTAGATACTTCTGGACTTATTCAAGATACCCAGGGTAAATTAATTAACCGCGAAGTGGCTTCCGTCCAAAAACGTGATATCTAATTCTTCGTCAGTCTTGTCGACATTTCCAAAATCGCGGAGATGGTACGCTTACGTCAAATTGTAGGCATGCAAAGATTTACTTCGTATTTGCTCCTTGACAACCGCCAAAAAGATCTTTGCATGTCCCTCGGTGTATCCCACATACCGTGTCATCAACGCGAGGCCATACGAATCAACGGATTCAATGGCATTGACAATTTGATAGCGTCCGATTTCTTTTAAGTGTGGATCCTTTGCCCATGGGCCCCATGGAATCTATGACATTATTAGGGCCTCCATTATAGAAGACATCATTGACATGAAAAGAAAGGAAACGGACCTTATGGACCACTACTTGTACGTCTTCAAAACCGGCTTGGACCATCCAGGGCTTGAGTTGTTCGCACACGTTCAAGGAGCGGCCGTCCTTCGAGCTTGCTTTCTCAATAATTGAGAGGCTGGCAATGTAATGGTAATTAGCCTTTCAACCGCTTTTCTTTATAGCAGAGGGGACACTACAATTGCAAAAGCGGGGAGTCCTGTTTTAGACTGCCATCATCACTCCAGCTCCATATGGGTGCTATTCTTGTCAGCATGGGAGAATTGAGTTGGCAAGGACATGATGCACTAACCTTCGTGCACTTCTAACCATCCACCGGGATTCAAGTGCCTGGTTATTATTGTTAGAAGAGAGTAGGAAGCAGGTTACCGAAAGTCGCATACTTGTAGCTTTTTCGAAAGAGTTCTAGCCAATTCCTGACGGATCTTGGTTTGTTCAGTATACGCCCAAAATCAAAGACCCTGGGTGAGGCAAATTACCCTGACAATGTCCGACCATGAATAAAATCGAAATAGTCATTCTGATACACCCATTCGTCTTCAAAATCTTCAATCACAAACTCTGCGTTTGGTGCAACATATTCGGGTTGGATTGGACTGAGATCGTTGCCGATGACTTTGGCTGATGGATACATGCTGTTGGGTATAATTAGTATGACTGTTATTTTTCTTCTGCTTCTTTTCTTTTCTTCTCCTTTTTTTTTTTTTTTTTTTTTTTTTTTTTTTTCTGGGGTTGCATTTGCGGGCATGTGACAGGACAGGGTATGCATACTCTGCGACATCTAGAGCCCAGATACCAGTCCCAGTCCCTAGGT